TCTAAAGTTGTCTGTTGTTAACAATGATTCTATAAATCTTGGTATTTCTCTTGGAACACTACATGTACTCTATTACATATAAACAACCACTTTTGGCTTTAAATTAGTCAGCAAGATGGGCGGCACGGTGGCTGAGTGGATAGCACTCTCGCCTCTCAGCAAGAAGGTCCTGGGTTCGAATCCCGGCCGGACCAGGGCCTTTCTGAGTGGAGTTTGCATGTTCTCTCCGTGTCTGCGTAGGTTTCCTCCGGGTACTCCGGTTTCCCCTACCACTAAAAACATGCACAATAGGTCTGGCATGCGCCTCCTGTACTGGCGACCCCGCTCCCATCTCTGTGTGGAGTGAGTGGACAAATGCCCAAAAATAATAACAATTGTAAACCGCTTTGTGACTCTGGTTTGTGAAAGGCGGTATATAAATAAAGATTACTTACTTACTTACTTACTTAAAGTCACATACAGTACCTTTTTTGGGCATTAAAAATGAAAATTATTTAGCGTTATCAATTGCCAATATTAGCGTGGATGGATCTAAAAACAACTCCACGTTTGTGATTGCTTAAGTACAATGTTATAACTTGGTTAAAAGTCCATTATTCACTAATGTCTACTTTAAGGCTAATCCAAAAGAAAACAAACGGCTGGTAACTACTTTCATAACCTATTTTAGAAAAGGACGAGGTCAATAAAACTACAATACATTGGTCAAAAAGAGCTTTTCACATTTTCAAACCAAATAAACCATTGAAGAATATTAGAAACTGTCCGTGTGTGCGTGTGTGTGTGCGTGTGTGTGTGTGTGTGTGTGTGTGTGTGTGTGTGTGTGTGTGTGTGTGTGTGTGTGTGTGTGTGTGTGTGTGTGTGTGTGTGCGCGTGTGTGTGAGTGCGCACGTGTGTGAATGGTTGGTGGTGGTCTGAGTCCTATGGCACATACTGGTAGCCTCTCTATTGTCAGTGTGCCCCAGGGCAGCTGTGGATACAGTAGTTTATCACCACCGTGTGTCTTTGAGGGTCCAAATAAGAACTAAAGTCAAAGTCAAATCTTATTAAATGAATAAATATGTTTACATGTTGTTACAGACATAAATGTGTCTCAAAGCAGTGTCACACATTTAAAATGGGGAACTCAACTTTTAAACCACCACAAATGGATTTTTGTCATTAAATCTATGTCACACGTCTCACTCTCACATCAGTTTGCTCCTATCACTAGTTTTCTCATGGATGTATTATTGGCCTCTCGTATTTCTCAGACAGAAAAGTGAAGAAGAGAGGACCACACTCTTTCAGCCAATCAGCTCTCAGCCCAAATAGTTAAACATTGACTCACAATGCTCTATACAAATAAATACTATGCTTTTGGATGCTGTGGAAGAAGTGAGGTACCCCAGCTTTAAAGAGCATAATATTATACACAAAATGTATTAAATTCTCCTCACAATGCTTAACAGTCACTTCCACAACACTGTCCTCAGGTTGTCCCCCACTCACCTGTGCTCTTGGGTCAGCCTCAGCCTTCACGGGTGCTGTCGTTGGGTTCCCTCAGCACAGGTTTTGGCCCCTGTGTTATGGTCCCTGGGTTTTGGCCTCTGTATTGTAGTTTGCAGCGGCTTCTCTCTGCTGAAAGGCTTGTGGTGGAGTAACTTCCTGCGGCGTGGAGGCAGAGTTGCAAAGCCCGGGCGTGTGTGCGTGTCCTGGGATTGAGTAAGAGGCTCTGGGAGGAGTGAGGAGCAGGGCCGGCTCCAGCCATCCAGGGGCCCAAGGCAACATACTGACTGAGGTCCAGCAGATGACAAACAAAGGAGTGGGTGTATGCTGCGGGTATTACCATCAGCCAAAAGAAAAGGGTGCTCTTGGAAAAATCAGGACACATGCTCTTTGGAGGAGGAGGAGGAGGAACTTTGAAGTTATCCCAAAAGTCTTGCTTTCGTTTTTATCCAGATGGGTAACTAACTACATATAAATATAGCTCTAGCTATTTTTGTTTTTCACTTGAAAGGATCTTATTTAACATCTTCATGAGAATTGATGGCCTCTCAGTCACTCCCTTCCGTATACAACTCAGTAACACAACCTTAAGTCAAAAACACAGATAGTTAGTCAAGTCGCAAATGGAGACACTTCACTGGGAGAAGTATAGTAACTTCAGCACTGGCCTCTCTTTGCTGTCCCATTGTGTTTTATGGTGTGATGATAGGACCCCTGAACCCGGCCTCTTTGACCTGCACCTGTGGCCCAGACATGTGAGCTGCACCCCCTTCCCCACCTGGTAGCATTTTGAGTCCTGCATTGCACAGCCTAAGCCCTGGTCCAACACGGACCTAAGTCCTGGTTCTACAGCCAGTCCATCCGTGGGAGCAGATACCTCTCTCAATGTAGGCCTCTCCAAGGTTTCTAATGTTGCTTTTTGTTGTTTCGGCTTGCTGATGGAAGAGGGTCTAAGGACAGGAGGGTCTGGGGACAGTGAGGATCCGGGATCTTTCTATTGACCAATGGCTCCTGTGTGTTTATTATTTTTATATTTCCTGTGTTCGAACGGTTGGATTCCCTGATGGAACAGTGTCCCTGAGGGAGAGTGAAGAAGTCTCTGGTAAAGATGAGTGTGTTCTGTTGATGTTGTCGTAAGTAAAACTAAACATGACAGCGGAAACTCTATCTACTTGTGCTGGTGTTATATAATAATGCATTGGGTTTATATGGTGCTTTTCAGGACATTCAAAGACGCTTCAAATGTCATTATTCATTCACTCCATACTCAGTGGTGATAAACTACTGTTGCAGATGCCATCAGCCAGCCGTTCACACACACACCAGACTCATTCTAAGGAATGTGGGTGAAGTGTCTTGCCTAAGGACACAACAACAGGTTGGGATTTCGCAGCTGCAGTTGCCCCACCGCAGCACTAACCAGTCCCTGCCCTGCAGAGCTTCAGAGGTTTAACGGGATCTGGCTTTTGTATGTACGTATGGCCACACATATGTATAATATGTATATCACTGTCCCAGAACATTTTGCTGTGGTTTGAATATTTAACATGAACATTAACAATTATTTTTTAAACTGGAAACAAATATTTTCATTGAAGAGCTGAACAATAATATCTCAAACACAGTTATCAGAGGAGTTGTGAGTGAAAATAGTGATGTCACAGTTGCGTGTAAACCACATGAGTGAACACATGCTCACAATCTGCTGAAAGTGCAAACAACAGTTACAACAAAACTCTGACTGTCTGCAGTGTTTGTGCCACTGTCCACCATTTTGAAGGTCAAAGATCATTTCATTTCAGCATCTCAGAGCTCAAAACATCTCCCAGTTCTCAAAGAAATATGCCACTTGGCGTAAATGGTGAATACCATAAAACAGATTCTATAGGGAGTATATTTTTCAACATATTGTTAATATTTATGTAAGATAAGATAACCTTTATTCATCCCTCAGTGGGGACATTTCAGTGTCATCATTGCCCACAATAAAACAGAATAAAAGGAGGAATAATAGCACTCAGAATACCAGAGCTCATGAAGGCACCATGAGCGAGGGCGAGTTGGGACATGTACTTTTTGGGAGCAGCTCATTCATCAGACACAGGCTCAGGCTCGAATAGAGGTGTGTGTGTATGTGTGTTTGCGTGCGTGCGTGTACGCCAGTGGGGGCGGGTCCCGGCTCAAAAGTGGCCAAAATGACGTGCGCTGACATGCTTGCAATACCACCCCGGGCCGATGGGGATGGACCCAGAAGAAGAATTAGCCAATGCTAACATATAGCATTCGAAAGGCAGACTTTTTGAAAATGTCTTTAGAGGATGGTCCAAAAGTTGGCTCTTGGCCCAAAGCTCTGTTCCACATGTGTGTCAATGCTGAGGGGGGTGAATTTTTTTGGACCACTCTAGTTTACTTGCTGTGAATTTTTGAAGTCGCTCGTTCAAATAAATGGAGCTGCGCCGGCTGACGCATGCGCAGATGCGTTTTTTCACAATTTTCTTGTGGGCGGGACCACTCGCGGCCATTTTGGATAGCTCCAGTAGAGCAGAATTTTTGGCCCATTAGTTAGAACGGCAGAGATAGGCGTGACTCACTGTCTGTTAATATATACAGTCTATGGTGTACGCACAGGTCAATTTTTGGCCACATATCTGTGATAGTACCGGCCGACATTGGGAGAGTTTCCTTTGACCCTGTTTGGTACCTTGTACTTTTTTAGTACTTGTTTGGCTTTTGTTCTATCCAAGCTGAGCTGGTACTAAAATGTTATAATTTTTGATGGCCAGCGGCCGCAACAAGACATACGATGCACAGATCCGCCTGTCAATCTGACCCTCCACCCTTCCCTCACTGGGAACAAGACAAGAGATACTTGTCTTCCACTTGAGGAAGGACCTCTCCTCCTGGAGAGGGCAAGACACATGGCCTCGGATTTGGACATTTTGCTGATCTTCATCCCAGCCGCTTCACACTTGGCTGAAAACCATCCTAGTGTTGAAGGTCCTGGTTTGTTGAAGCCAACAGGACCTCACTGTTCCGCAAACAGCAAAGACAAAATTTTGTGGTCCCCAAACAAGATCCCCTCCGGCCCCCGGCGGCAGTTTGAAATTTTGCCCATAAAAACAGTGCACAGAATTGGTGACAGAGGGCCAACACTGGGAATAGGTCTGACTTAATGCGGGCGATGCAAACACTGCTCTGACTCCGGTCATACAGGGACTGGACGTCCCTTGGCAGAGGACCCTGGACCATGTACTCTCAGAACATGGGCCAGAAAATTCTCAGAAAACCCTTTTTGCCCAGGGAACATGGCAAAAAGTGTTTTCCAGATTCAGGAGAGACAGTTTTGCAAATTGCACTTTCATTCTGCACAATTGCATTTACAAATATGTGTAAATGTAATATCCCACTACTACTACTTGAGGTTTTATTATGTTTTATTCAGTTTAGCCATAGATATTCTACATAAAGGGTCATAACATGTATAATGGGCGGAGTTGGAGCCAGGGTGGACTTCAGCTCAGGTCGCAGGAGAGAACAGAGCTGTGATGTCGAGCCGGGATGTAGTCTGCTTTGCTCCGGCTGGAGTATGGTCTGAAGAACGCCCAGAGGAAGAAGAAGACCACCAAGGCCAGACAGAAGAGGGCCGCACACCACACCACCACCCATGTGTGCGTAGAGTCTGCAGAAGCACAGATACACACACAGCTGAAGATTGTGTGGCTTATATCAAACAAGAGTGTTACTTTTGAAACAACAAGTTTTCAGTTATAAGAATAGACTCATGGGGGAAAAAAACCTGAAGCCCTGTTTCCACCAGCCCTGTTTGTTTACTCTACTCTAAGCAGCCGCCACATTTGGAACTTTCTCCATAGACCTCAATATAAACTAAATTGCTCGTCCATCTCGGGTCGCCAGGGCTTACCTTCCAGCTGCAGCCGCACGTCCACTTCCTGTCCGCCATGTTGATTGTGAGCAACACACTTTAGCTCCACCTCCGTGTCCTTCTGTGTCATGTCCAGGAGAAGTAGGCGGAGCTTTATGAGGCAGCCCTCAAACGCCTTGTCCACCCTACCACACACACACACACACAATAATGTCTTTAATGATGACCTAACTTTTTCCCATCACCATGGGGAATTTTACAAAAAATTTATTTAGACATACTAAAATACAAAACAATACAATAATATAAATGGGCTATATGCACGGGGAGGCGTGACGTCATTTCCTGTTAACAAAGCACAGCCCTTTCACTTCCTGCCTTTGCTATCCTATGGCTTTTAGGTGGGTTTTAGTGACGTTTTTTAGTAATTAGATTGATACATTAAGCTGTGAGACTGACCCAAAAGTGTCACTGTGCTTTCTCGACAGTAGCTCAGTTGGTAGAGCATTGGCATTTGGGCCCAAAGGTCGTGGGTTCGAGCCCACCACGGGACCTTCTCCACCGACCCCCACTAATGCCTGCTGTCGTTGTGTCCTTGGGCAAGACACTTAACCCACTTAGCCTATAAGGAGCGCGGATATGATGTTCGCTGCATGCCTTGATGTGTATATATGTATGTACTATATGTATATGCTTCAAACTGAAATTTCCCCATTGTGGGACGAATAAAGGACCTTCTTCTTCTCTCTGAGGTAGAGCTTTGACTGTGGCCACTCAGAGCGATTTGTAAACTTTATAAAAACACAATGACAGCACAATCAAAGAGCACTGTTGTGTCCCAAAAATGCCCAGTATCCTCACAGTTTAATTCCCGTTTGAGCATTATTTGGGAAACTCGTGTAAACCACTGCTGAACTCTAGTGAAACTCAAGCCGTTTCCCACAAACAGGAAGTGAAGTGGGGTAGTAGCTAAAACGCAGAAGTGGTGCGTGCATAGAGCCCATTTGTATTTTTCCCTCACCTTCTGCCTCCCTCCAGAGCCCGCCCATCCAGGTACGAAGACTCCACCGATTGGCCGTTCACCAGCCACATGACCTGTGTGAGCTCTGCTATTGGACAGTCTGTGAGCACGGTACAGTGGAGCTCCAGGCCTGAGCCTACAGCAATGGGACAGGGAACACACACAGCCACAATCATGACAAATACCACTGCTTTCACTTCCATATCCTTTCTAAGCAGGTTTGTAAAGTGCAGAGTGAAGTGTTTTATGTTACTGTTGTTTAAGTGCAATGTAAAATGTAAATGTGCCAGACAGATACAAATCTTTTAGATATTCACATGGATTGGTTGAGGGGTATAGAAAAGTCAATGTTAGACAGCATTTAAAATGATAAAAATGGTGATATGATTGTTTACTAAAATCCACTGTATGATCACAGGAATTATTTACTATGCTATTATAGGTCAACAGGACCTTCATGCTGTGAGGTACAAGTGCTAACCACAGCCCAACTGTGCTGCCCCGGTCACACTACCACAATCAGGTCTTTATAAAGAACAGGGACAGGAAAGGGATTTTTTTCTTGATGCAGCCGGAGATTGAACCAGCAAACAGGTCCAAACTCAAATGAATGAATGTGTGAGGATTACCGAGAGTATTTTCAAAGACGGTCCCGTTCTCAGGCGAGAGGATCATTGGAGCTGTGAGAGGAGAGAAGAGAGAGGAGGGAGGAGAGGAAAGTACGTTACTCTGCCAGATGACTGAGACAGATGTGTTATTTCTGTATGGACTTACCTTTGTGTGCAGCGGTCACTGTGGGGACAGAGTCAGTCTGAGAGGGCAGAGCTGGGGAGAAATAGAAACACACACAGAGCCACAACCACCCACCCACACACACACACAAAAATACATGTACACACATACATACACATACACACACATGCAGACACACACATGCACAGATATACACACACACACACACACACACACACAAACACACCCACACAAACACAATATCAAGAATTTGAAATAATTAAAAAAGTTTAACAAATTATGATGATTGAATACTAAGCCAAAATCTCATCTAGTGGTATAAGTGTGAAATCACTACTTTTAAATCAAACTCTGACATGGCGAGCAGTTTTTAATCAGATTAAAAATGAATAAACATGTATAATACATAAAGATAAGACCTTCACCTAGTGGTCACAGAGGAGAATTGTAATGTATTCCACTTAAAGTCGTTTTTGTTCAGTTTGGATTTGAACCTGATCATTGTTCAGTATCTCATATGTAAAATGCAGTTTACTGATACGCCAGCAGAGGGCGATGTCTGAGAGAACATGAGTCTCTTCAACAGTCCATCTCTCAGTGATAAAGCATCTATGGACGAGTCTGACATTTACAGTCAATGGTCTGAACGAGGAAATCAGCTGTTTTTAAGGCATCATTATTGACTTTAGTGTTGGTTGTATGGTTTTGAATTTAGTTTACTCACTGTGCAGCAGACCATGTTAAACACTAAGACCCCCAGAGCAGTCTTTTTACTGCTCCTATTTAAATCATTTTCAATCTGACTTCCTTAAAAAATTGTTTTCCACCAATTTTATAAAAGTAAGGGTTTTAAGTGCTAAAACTAGTGAATATGATATAACTGGAAATACTGCAAAAAGAAACCGCAGTGTTCTGTGGTGTTGAAGGGGGGTGTACCTTGCACAGTGATGATGACGGCTCTGCTGACCGTGAACGTCCCGTGCTTCATCTCCACAGAGGCCCGACAGCGGTACAGGCCTGAGTGCTCCGACCGCACCTCCTCGATCTGCAGATGGCCCCCCACAGAGCTGAAGGGGCCCCTCGCTCCAGACACCTGTCCCAGGAAACACAGAGGCTCAGTACAGACAGAGGACCAGGACACACACACGCTCAGAAACAGACAGAGGACCAGGACACACACACGCTCAGAAACAGACAGAGGACCAGGACACACACACACGCTCAGAAACAGACAGAGGACCAGGACACACACACGCTCACGGGGGATTTACACAGTAGGCGTAAACAGCGCGTACGCGTTTACTGCGCGCTCTCTGCGCGTAACATTTTTTTGGAGTATCTACACTGACCGTGCGCGCAGGTCCGCGGCTTCTGATGCTCTCTCTGTGTAGTCTATGGAGCAGTGTAGAGGACAGTACGGGCCAGAGGACTGATGTAGAGCAACACAAATCACATGCATGTGTTTGTCCTCATGGTCTCTGTGCGCTGGTTTGGCCAGACGCGAGACTTTATGAAAGAAAAAAAACGATGTCCAGAATCACTGTAAAACCTGCTGCTCCTCCTGCTGATGTTTAGACACAAGTGCAGTGTGCGTGCAGATGTGATCTAAAGCCAAGGACCGCTAGAAAAATAAAGTTTTACATGAGATTTCAATGGGAGACGCGTTGGTGCGCGCACAAAATTAGAAATCCATCCTAAATTAGAGCGCAGCTTCGCGTCACATGTCCGTCATACGCGCGTATAACGCTAGAAGTGTAAATATTATCATAGGTTAACATGGGAAAAAGTTACGCGCGTCTGCTGCGCGTATAACGCGTACGTGCTGTAACGCGTGATGTGTAAATTAGCAGTCAGAAACAGACAGAGGACCAGGACACACACAGGCTCAGTACAGACAGAGGACCAGGACACACACAGGCTCAGTACAGACAGAGGACCAGGACACACACAGGCTCAGTACAGACAGAGGACCAGGACACACACACGCTCAGTACAGACAGAGGACCAGGACACACACAGGCTCAGTACAGACAAAGGACCAGGACAGCAGTAGTAAGATAACGTCAGCAGTAGCAGTAGTAAGAGTACTTTAGCAGTAGCTTTAGCAGTAGCAGTAGTAAGAGTACATCAGCAGCAGCAGTAGTAGGATAACATCAGCAGTAGCAGTAGTAAGAGTACTTTAGCAGTAGCAGTAGTAGGATAACGTCAGCAGTAGCAGTGTTGCCGTGGTGACCTCTGACCTTGTCCCAGTGCACGTGTGAGTGTGAGTGGTTGAAGAGGCTCAGGGCAGGACACTTCTTTCTCAGACTCTCGCCCTCAAAGATCCGATGAGAGAACGCTACTTTGTCCAAGTGCTCAACCAGGGACGAGTACACATGCAGAGTGAGGCCTCCTCTGGCACAAAACATCTTAGACCTGCAGACACACACACACACACACACATACACCATGTCAATCACTAGTTTTCGCATCATCTACTTCTAACTTCTGTCACATCCGTTAGCTTTACCAAACAGAAAAGTGAAAAAGAGAGGACCACCCTCACTCAGCCAATCAGTTCTTAGCCCAAAGAGTCTTTTTAACAACTGTCCAAAAGATAACATGTTTTCTAATAAGAAGAAGACAGCATGTACAATTTCACTTTTGCTCTTTCTGTTGAGACAAAGATACTGTTATAATTTTAAAGGGCAGAATGATATCTATTGATGTAAAATGACTTCTGTATCTTTGATATGTGTGTAAAGGTCACATGAACGTTTCTGAGCAACAGTGTTATTCTGGTTATAAAGTTATTATTAATAACAACATAAAACATTAAAAATAAGTGTTGGTTTAGGGTACTGTCATTGTTTAGGTTTATTTCCTGCTTTGTTTTGTAATTTGTCACCCTCTGTGTCTTTAGTGCCTTAGTTCTACTTCCTGTTTTCCGAGGACCTGCCCTTAAGTGTATCGCCTGTGGCTTGTAGTCTCGTGCAGTCAAGTCTCTTGGTTTTTGTCTTCTCCCCCAGTTTGGTTACGTTTCGTGTTTTTACTCTGGATTTTGCCTTCTTATTTTCTATAATAAATCACTTATTTTTGCGGTCCTGCATTCTGACTATTTTTTTTTCATTTTCCCACCTCGGCAATAAGTGTAATACGTAACACACAGAGTTTGTTCTGTTTCCATCCCAACCCCAGCAGATGGTCTGTATCTGTAATTGATGCTCATGAGCGACACGTGTCACAAGCGGAAGATTTTGGCAACAAGTGTGATTGTACTGTCTTTATTCGAACACTAAGAGCAGATTACAGACAGTCCCTTTAAAAGCAAGAAAATATGGCTGCAGGACAGGTCTGGACTTTAACATCATCACCAGTGTCTACTCCACCGGGGGAATCTGGATTTCAGCTCATGTCTCCTCATTTTTTAGAATCTTATCTGAATCCCCCATTTCGTGACAACTCATTGCTCTTTCTTTGTCACTAATTGGCGTCGACTGGTCAAAATATCTCACACTATGGAAAAAACTGTAAGGTTGTCCAATCAAAAATCAGACATTAACAAGATAATGATTAACTAAGACAGTATTAACTAGATACTAATTGAAAAAAGTGGCAATACTCAACAAATGGATTGACATCAGAACCAATAAAAAACATGAATAGTAATATTACAGTCTATTTTTATTTAGTGTTAAATTTACAGCTTGCCATCATTGGCTTCACAACTGGAATTGAAATGATGTGTTTAAATGCTATTTTTGGTTAAAAGGTCAAACAGACCATGTACTGTATTAAAAATGGTTAAAGGTCCCATAGTACGCTTTTTGACTTTTCTCTGGTTTAAACATGATTCCAGTGTTATTTGGCCTCATACACACGCCCAGAGTAGTTTTTTCATTGATTCCCTAAAGCTTTAGTTAGACAGCAATCCTTCTTTTTCATTCTCGAGAGACACAGAAACGAACTGATTCAATTTGTGACGTGGCACAATCTGTGATGTCAAAAGCCCGCATCCAAGAGGTGATTGACAGCGGCAAGAAACTGAACCAGCGAATCAGCACTGACTATGATCAGCTGCAGCCCCTCTCCAAATCCAGCCGAAGACTGAGAAAGAGGATCGACTCTGTTCACGGGGATTTGCCTCGTATCCGCGAGCTTGAAATCCGCTATACGAAACTTGCAGATGTTTCTTTGCGAGTGACGTGACACCACCAAAGACTGTTCCAGAACTACAGTTACTTGAAACGGGACCTACTCAAAAGCTGATCTGGAAACATGTTATTATTTCCAACATAAAAGACGCTAACAGGAGCCTCGGTCTGTGAGTACAATGTAACTGCGAACTAAATAATTAGGTCTGATTCTGGATCGAGGACATAGGGCTCTGTGTGACGAGTTGCCATTGTTGGAAAAAGTTTATTCTCAGGTTCTCGGAACTTAGCGTGATGCTACGTCACCGTGTGGGTGGGGGGAGGCGGGCTCACAGACAGAGGACCACTGATTCAAGCGTTTCACATAAATGGCTATAATTTGGCAAGTTTTGAGTGTTGTATGGTGCACCACCTAAAATACTATCACACATGTGCATATAGGATGGACTGTGAAAAATGAAGAAAAGCTAAATATGGCACCTTTAAAAGGGTAAACGGTTAAAAGTTTAAACATCTTGAGATTAAATGAGTAGTTCCAAAATGTTATGATGCGACTGTGAATTTCAGTCAAGTGCATTCAAGATATGCAGATCTGAGTTAAGAACCAGCTTTTAAGATCTACGACACTCCCATTATTTAGAGACCTCTGATGTCTCGTGTGGGAAAGTGAACTTTTACAAGGACTTTTAACTGCTTTTACTGTGTGATTTTGTGTGTTTTTCTGTTGTTTTTCTGCATGCAATTTACAGTGCCTTGCGAAAGTATTCGGCCCCCTTGAACCTTTCAACATTTCGCCACATTTCAGTCTTCAAACATAAAGATATAAAATTTAAATTTTTTGTCATGAATCAACAACAAGTGGGACACAATCGTGAAGTGGAACGAAATTTATTGGATGATTTAAAGTTTTTTAACAAATAAAAAACTGAAAAGTGGGGCGTGCAATATTATTTGGCCCCTTTACTTTCAGTGCAGCAAACTCACTCCAGAAGTTCAGTGAGGATCTTTGAATGATCCAATGTTGTCCTAAATGACTGATGATGATAAATAGAATGCACCTGTGTGTAAACAAGTCTCCGTATAAATGCACCTGCTCTTTGATAGTCTCAGGGTTCTGTTTAAAGCGCAGAGAGAACCATGAAGACAAATAACACACCAGGAAGGTCCGAGATACTGTTGTGGAGAAGTTTAAAGCCGGATTTGGATACAAAAAGATTTCCCAAGCTTTAAACATCTCAAGGAGCACTGTGCAAGCAATTATATTGAAATGGAAGGAGTATCAGACCATTGCAAATCTACCAAAACCCGGCCGTCCCTCCAAACTTTAATCTCAAACAAGGAGAAGACTGATCAGAGATGCAGCCAAGAGGCCCATGATCGCTCTGGATGAACTGCAGATAACTACAGCTGAGGTGGGAGAGTCTGTCCATAGGACAACAATCAGTCGTGCACTGCACAAATCTGGCCTTTATGGAAGAGTGGCAATTTCTCAAAGATATCCATAAAAAGTCTCTTAAAGTTTGCCACAAGCCACCTGGGAGACACACCAAACATGTGGAAGAAGGTGCTCTGGTCAGATGAAACCAAAATCAAACTTTTTGGCCACAATGCAAAACGATATGTTTGGCGTAAAAGCAACACAGCTCATCACCCTGAACACACCATCCCCGCCTCAGCTGTAGTTATCTGCAGTTCATCCAGGGTGATCATGGGCCTCTTGGCTGCATCTCTGATCAATCTTCTCCTTGTTTGAGATGAAAGTTTGGAGGGACGGACGGGTCTTGGTAGATTTGCAGTGGTCTGATACTCCTCCTGTAAATCACGGTTCCTTGGACACTTTACTAATTACCCACACCTGTTTTAATCAAGACTATGAACTTGGGGGTGAGCACTGCGGAACGAGAGAGAAGAAACTGAGGACGAGGCCAGAGGAACCGGGCCAAGGAGGACTGCCGCCAACCAGAACCAACGGGGGACTGAGGCTAGCGGGGAGAGCGGCACCGGCGATGGCAGTGACCGCATTGACAACGCAGGAAGGCGCGTGCGGGTGCGCGGTGGCGACCCTTGGCGTGTGGTGTGGCTGGTGAGGCTGTGGCCCGGTCCCGGGACAGAGAGGGACGAGATGGCGAGGACGGAGGAGGACAAGTGGACTGCGGGTTTTTATCTTCTTTTTAATGGATCCTTTTTGTATATATTTTATTAAATTTTTATCCTCTTTTTACCCCTTTTGCCTTTTTATTAGGGCTGTCAAAATCATCTCGTTAACGCACGTTAATTAATTTTTTTCATTAATCGTGTTAAAAAAAGCAGAGCAGGTAGGCCCTCTGGGAATTCAAGTTTTGAAAGAATACACACGTGACCGCGGGGCACTTGTTTCCTGTATGAACTCTGCATGATGAGCTGCGGGCGCCACAGCGCTCTGGACAGCAGTTCCTCCAGCGGCTGTGATCACGGCGAACGGCGCTGCGTAATGGGATCACATCCAAGACCACGCACAGAACTATTCTCTAGTGTGCGTACGTGTCTTTGCGTAACCGATGCACACAATATGTACAGCGCTGAAGCTGGACTGCGGAGCCTCAGTCTCCTCCGTGTCTTCTCCCGAAGCGCACTCGCTAAATTAAAACCGAGGTACCTAATTTTCCTTTCGACTACCAGTTCATGTTGGTTGTGCCAAAAAAAAGTAATGGTGTGAGCAAATCAAACAGATTTAATGACATTCTGCATTTCAGACTGTTTGAAATGTCCCTCATCTGTAACAAACAATAGTTTTGGTCTGAGTCTAAACAGAAAGACAGAATGTTAATGATGTTAATTCCATTTTGTATGGATTTATTGTTATAACAAACAAATACAGTACATATGTTCACTAAGCTGTCATTTTATCTTTCCATTCAAACAACAATTTACAGAAAAATATGGCATAATTTTGCCAATAGTTTGAAATGCGATTAATTACGATTAATTAATTTTTAAGCTGTAATTAACTCAATTAAAAAAATTAATCGTTTGACAGCCCTACTTTTTATTGATCACACCCCCCTCAACAGACACTTTTTAACCTGTGACATCATCAATGTTTGAGTTGAATTCAGGTGTGAGAGCAGACAGATTTTTTTCCAGCTGCTAAGAGTAATGTTTAATGTTCATTTTTTGTTTTTGTTAAATGTTTGAACTTCCCTTTTTTTCCCTATGTCTCCCTGGTCTGCAGTGTAAGAAACCTTTCACATCTGGCTCGCTGCGGCTGTTGAAATGATCCTAAAAGGGCTCGTCCTCAGCCGACAGGGAGTCAGCAGCTTTAACAAAGGAGGACAATGTGGGGACTTGAGTGAGTGTCACTTGTCACCCTGAACTTTTTTTTCTTTTGAATCCATACTTATGGCTAAAAAAACACATTCATTCAAACAGCGGATAAATGAGGCTGGTCCAGAAAAAAAAAAGACGTGCCTCAGCATTGGCACGCATCTGGAACTTAGCGTTGAGCCAAGAGCCGACTTTTGGACCAGGCTGAAAGGCTGTTTTTGAGCATTGGATAATTCTGTCTGCATGGGGGCTCATGGAGCTTTTTGAGCTGAGACCCGCTCCCAATGATCAGAGCGCACAAACATATTACTCTAGTCCTGCAGAAGGACCAGAGCGCAGAAGCACCACTGCACCTAATGCACAAGGCCAGGAGAACCAGAGCTGGGCAGAACTTCTGCTAATGTTTGAGACGTCCATTGAGCACAGGCCATTGATCTGAATAGACAGACATCTTGGAGACCTGGGGCGCGATTGAACCACCTGCTCTGCTGAGAATCAAATCTCTTTAGATTTGGATCCAGAATCCTTTTATTTGTAATTTGCAATAAAACCCCATTGGAATAAATTAAAGTCCCCAGTGTGCACAAGTACTTAAGTGGTACATAAAGATAAAAATGACAGGAATAAATCAAGTGCACACCAGAGCTCTTGCTGTGGCACGCCGACTCAGCGCCATCTTGCTCTCCCTAGGTATTTTTCCTATTTTTTTCTGCGTCACAGTTGCCCTCAGTTGTTGATTCGCCGACAGTATTAGAAAATCAAACACTTGATAGGATAACAGATAAACCATGTTTTTAATCCGTCTTCGATAAATGAGCTTGTTGTGCAGATTAGAGGATTCCAATGTGATGTCGCATGCTACCTGTACGTGCAGCTGTAGTGTCCCGAGTCGGACTGGTGTGCTGGGAGGAGCCACAGCTGCGCCCCCTGCTGGAGAACACGTGTCTCTGTTTCGTTGTGGGAGGGGCCATAGGTGTCATTGTGGGTGGAGCTAGTGATGGTGTTGGTCTTGGAGACGAGGACAGAGGCACCGGACAGGGACAGCCCGTGATCCCGAAGGACACTGTGGAAGCGCGGGAAAGACAGGATCACCGCCTCCCCCTCCACACGGAACAGGGGGACCTCTGGGGACACCTGCAGACAGCCCTCTGTGGGACAGGAGAGAGAGGGAGGAGAGGAAGAGAGGAGGGGAGAGAAGAGGACATCAGTCATTGCCAACAAAGGTCATATAGCAGTATTGAGATGGACTTCTGTATTTCTAAATACTTACTTTCAACCATAATTTGCAAATAAATTATTTAAAAATCAGACAATATGATTTTATGGATTCTTTTTATCATTTTGTTTCTCACAGTTGAGTTTTACCTACGGTATATGAAAATGTCAGGCCTTGTCTTTTTCAGAGGGAGAACTGGCACAACTTTTTCCCCACCATGATGTATAACATAAGGCTAGCATCTACTTTGGAAGTTTTCAAATCAAGGTTAAAACTGTTCTGTTTAGCTGTGCATACAGCTGAAGGATTTTATAGATACATACTTTTTTTTTTTTTTTTATGCATTGAGGCTATTTATTATTTAATCCCGTGTGTGCTTTTAATGTTTTAAGGTTTTTTGATTACTTGTGATTTTATTCTGTTTTTAATGTATATATTTTTTGTATATGTAGATTTTAATGTTTCTGATTTGTTTGATATGTGGGTTGGGAGGCACTTTGAGTTGCCTTGAGTTGGAAAGGCGCTATACAAATAAAAGTTGATTGATTGAACAAAGACCAGGTATTAGTCACGTTGTGTGTAATGCTAATAAATAATAATTCTAATGTATTTCAAGATGAAGAGGATTATTCCCGCACACCATCAATTGCTAATTTTATTTTTTTTTATTGGGGATGCAACGTTTTGGCATTACTTGATGAAACAATGCATCCCCCTCAAAATATTTTGCAAGTAAGACGGTATGCGGGAATAATTCTCTTCAATAGGCTGTAGGCCTCTCCTCCAACGCACCCGATCTGCAAAAGGGTTAGGGTTGACTCCTGAATGTATTTCATGAAATACATAAAACAGAAGATGGACTTTTGAACTATGAAATCATCAGGGTTTTTCATGAACTGTTACTAGTCATAAAGTGTTATAACTAGTGACAAAGATCCCTTTGTCCCATGAGTAGTGTTTGAAACCCCTTGATGCCATCCCCACACGGGCTATATCACATGTGATGTATACAAATACATGGACTGTATAAATACAGTCCCTTGCGAAGGGACTGCAGAGCGATCATGGGCCTCTTGGCTGAATCTCTGATCAGTCTTCTCCTTGTTTGAGATGAAAGTTTGGAGGGACGGCCGGGTCTTGGTAGATTTGCAGTGGTCTGATACTCCTTCCATTTCACTATAATTGCTTGCACAGTGCTCCTTGAGATGTTTAAAGCTTGGGAAATCTTTTTGTATCCAAATCCGGCTTTAAACTTCTCCACAACAGTATCTCGGACCTGCCTGGTGTGCTCCTTTGTCTTCATGGTTCTCTCTGCGCTTTAAACAGAACCCTGAGACTATCAAAGAGCAGGTGCATTTATACAGAGACTTGATTACACACAGTTTCATTCTATTTATCATCATCAGTCATTTAGGACAACATTGGATCATTCAAAGATCCTCACTGAACTTCTGGAGTGAGTTTGCTGCACTGAAAGTAATAATATTATAATAACATTGCACGCCCCACTTTTCAGTTTTTTATTTGTTAAAAAAGTTTAAATTATCCAATACATTTTGTTCCACTTCACAATTGTGTCCCACTTGTCGTTGATTCATGACAAAAAATGTAAATTTTATAACTTTATGTTTGACGCCTGAAATGTGGCGAAATGTTGAAAGGTTCAAGGGGGCCGAATACCTTCGCAAGGCACTGTACATGGGTTGTATAAATACATGGACTGTATAAAACTAAGAATACAGTGGTTGCGGCTCACTCCAGACTTTCAGAGCATGAGGCCAGAGCTCTGTTGTGTTTCAATGAACTTCATCCTACAAGAACAACCTTCCTTCTTTAATCTACACCAATCTCATGACAACAAACAATGTTCTACTTTTCTTCTCACCGTGCACTGGCAGAGGAGGCAGAGGCGGCCCTGAGCTCACACAACGTAGCGTGGACAGCAGCAACAGCAGCATTTCTGTAAACATTATATCATTATTATTATTATTATCACTGCAGTATTCACACACTCTCTCACTCTCACACACTGAAGAGATCTGAGGCGTCACCGCTTATAACAGCCAATGTGTGACATCACTGACTGCTGTGATGTCACTGTGTTTCTATGAATGAAAACACACACATACGCACACACCCACACACACATACGGACACACACACACACACACACACACACACACACACACACACATACGCACACACACACACACACACACACACACACACAGAAGTGACCACAGTGTGGGACCAGGGAACAACCGCTGGGCTAAATTGCACAACAGAAAGTTTTCTGTTTGAATGAAGGATAGATTCATATGTTTTTATCTAGAAAATGTTTTTTGTGAAAAGCAGAATTTTCCAAGTTTCACTTCTGCTCCAACTGCCCTAAAACAAACCTCACGTGTTTCTGTCTTTGAATGTGTCACAACCAGAGACAGTGTCACATGCAGGAATGTGATGTCACACCTAGCCTTGTCTCACGGACAGAGAACTGAGGCAAAGACAGAGAGAAGGAGAAGAGAAGAGAGGAGAAGAGGAGAGGAAAGAGCAGAGGAGAGTGGAGAGGGGAGGGAGAGGAGAGGAGAGGAAAGAGCAGGAGAGGAAAGAGCAGAGGAGAGGGGAGGGAGAGGAGAGGAGAGGAAAGAGCAGGAGAGGAAAGAGCAGAGGAGAGGGGAGGGAGAGGAGAGGAAAGAGCAGGAGAGGAAAGAGCAGAGGAGAGGGGAGGGAGAGGAGAGGAAAGAGCAGAGGAGAGGGGAGGGAGAGGAGAGGAGAGGAAAGAGCAGAGGAGAGGGGGGGAGGAGAGGGGAGAGGAGAGGAAAGAGCAGAGGAGAGGGGGGGGAGAGGAAAGAGTAGAGGAGAGGGGGGGAGGAGAGGGGAGAGGAGAGGAAAGAGCAGAGGAGAGGGGGGGAGAGGAGAGAAAGAAGAGAGAGGAGTCTCATGTAGTGATAGAAGTGGAATATGACATTTTGCTTTTAACATTTCAAACATGGTGCAATGTAAGTAAAGTTGTCCTCTTCCGCTTTATCCATTGCCGGTTAAAGAGCTTTGCCTGAAGGCCCAGCTGATCTACCGGTGACAGCATACCTCCTGCAGAAGGATCAGGGAGGGATTCTAAATTGCCACCCCCCTGTCCCAGAAATGGACAAAGGGGAAGAAAATGGATGGATGGATGTTTGTTCCTTCGTACATTCTCTGGGCCCAGGGAGTGACAGACGTGGCTTTTTGCCTCCCTTAAAAACAATGATCAATATATCCACCTCTTCCACAATCCCATAATGCTTTGCACCTAGAGGGGAGCTGTGGGGAGCGAGCTGTAGGAGATTGTTTTGTTGCATTGTTTAGATTGTGAGTGCAGTAGTTTGGTTTTAGTCTTTGACCGGACAGGGACACTAAAGTGAGTTGTATGGATCTGTACCCAGTCTAACAATCACGTCTGATGCTGACTTTTGTATCCATTTTAACTCACCTCAACGATTTTAATTTATAATCAATTCATCCTTTCTGTAAATTCCCGTCTCTGTCCTCTACAGTATGCCCCTTTTCGTATCCAAATGTGTGTTTTTCTAATCTCTTATGTCTGTGAGCGAGCTTGTTTAGCACTCTCGCTTCCTGGATACAAACCCTGGTCGGAACAGGGCCTTTCTGAGTGGAGTTTGCGTGTTCTCCCTGTGTCTGCATAGGTTTCCTCTGGGTGCTCCTGGTTCCCTCACCACTTAAAATGTACAACAAGTAAACTCCTCCAGATCTGGTCTTGAGATAGAGCATGAACATCTGGAGACTGCTCCCGACAGAGACCTGAGAGGCGTTCAGGACGGGTCAAATGCAGAGGACACACTTTCCGACTCTTTTTCACTTCTCTGTCTGAAAAAATTGTCTGAACTTGTGACAGAGGCCAGACATATTTACAGGTAAAAACTGGTGTTAACTAACTATTGAACTTGTTACATAACTCCATTGTTGTGGTATGAAAATTAAGTACCCCAACTTTAAAGGTAATATGAAAGTTACCTACTTTGTTCAGAGAAGGTCCAGATGAGTCCTCAGTGGTCCTGTTGTCCACATACATTCAGGAGAGCAAACACGCTGTGCTCCTGTCCCTGGGGAGGGGTGTGTGAGTGTGTGTGTGCGTGTGAGAGTGAGTGTGTGTGTGTGTGTTCAAAGAAAACTCTCAGGTTTCCCAATGCACTGGTATAGGACATAAGGAGGTGTGTCTCTGGGGACATGTGAGCAGGATGTCTAACCAGACCCTATTTTTCATTAACTTCGAGCACAAACATATAACTCTGTCCCTTCTGTCTAAAAGCTCCTGTCTCAATAGTATGTCATTGCACCATTATGACGTCACACGGAGTAGTGTTCTTGAAAACCAAAGTAGAGAGATTAGCGAGACCCGAGAGAGAGAAAGACCAGAGACCAGAGATAGACCAGAGACAGGCTTATCAGTTACTAATGTTTTCTAATAATGAGATGAAAACAGCATGTTGTCTAATTGAATCACCTTTTATTTTTACTAAAACATTCTTCTACAAAAAACATGTGTCATGTATTTAAAGCTTTATTCAAGACAAGCTGTTTTTAATGAGATGAAGTGAGAACCGGATGACTGCTCCTCTCTGACCCTCTGACCCACACAGATACTGATAGTTTCACTTTGTGAGGACACAAACATGACTCACACACTTCACTCAAATTCAATCATGTGTTGTTTTATAATTGTTGATTTATTAAAAGACGTATGTGAACAGAGAGAGAGACCGGGATAAAAGAGACAGACCAAAGAGAGGGACCAGAGAGAGATAGAGTGATTAGAATAGAAGGATGAAGAAGTCACAGGTCTGTTGAGCCGTTTACAGCCTACGTCATCGGAAAGTTCTGTGCGCATTGAGGCAACAGAAGTACTGTGTTTACCAGCACCAACAGGCCCATAAGGTCTAGCAAAACTGTCAGCCGACTCGGAGAAACATCGGCCTAGCTTTAATTTATCAAGGGCCAGTGTTCGCTTCACATCATTCAGGAGGATTGGACCGAAGACCCGATTAAGAACGCAGTGGCCCTTTAATATCGAAGGCCAGTGCGGCTGCTGTTTTTCTTTAACCAAGATGGAGCAGACCAGACTTCTGCCATTCCTTCAAGTCTTCAGGTTCAGACTGGGCTTACTTTAGGAAGTGGGTACAGGAACCGAGCTCCTGCTTGGCTGAAGTAAAACACAGATCCTTTAAGGCACGGATTGACGCCCGTAATATTATATCTGTGCAGTTCCATAATGAAGCTGCAGAGATGCGTGCGCAGCCATCTTTAGACACTGAACAAGTCTATAAAGCACAGTTGTGTGTGTATTGATGGCAGAATGTTATTGAAAGGTCTTCTAGTGTAAGTTTGGATGGAGTCCTTCATGTTTTGAGTAACCCTGTGTTGTGCAGGCCTTCCAGGCTTTGGTGCTGTGCCAATGTTCGAGGCAGCGGTGTGGAGGAAACACAAATGGGACGTAGTTAGTTAAAATGAACTAAAGTTTACCTGTCATGCAAGAGAAAAACACGTATGTCGATTGGTATCCGTCTGCTTTTGGAATGAATGAAACAACCAAGTGTATACACACACATCATCGTGTGTGGAACGATTGGAACAATATCTGAACTCTGAACAATGTAAAGCTCTTTGGGTGACCTTTGTCTGTAAAATGCGCTATATAAACAAACATTACTTACTGCACTTACACACACACACGCACACAGAGTGATGTTGGTCCTCTCTTTTTAACTTTTCTGTAAGAAAAAGCTGCTTACGATGTGAGGCCAAAATTACATGCATGTGAAAACTAGTGACAGTAGAAAACTATTTCAAGAACAAAGAACTATTTCAAGTCTATTGTGTGGTCTGAAAGTTACCCCAGCTTTAATTGTCCTGTGCACATTTATGAAAAACATGTGAGAGCAGAGAAGAGGCAGAACAGAAGCAGGCGACGCGACTCAGCATGTGTATTCCACGTGACACTTTTATTAATATTTGGGACTAAACATCCACATGACTGTATTGAAACACGACTCGTACGTCTGTGATAAAGCAGGCAGACCGTGGACGCTGGCTCGCTTAGAAAACCACCGCCGACGCACGGAATTACACTGATCTCCAAAGGAATATTCAGCAGAAGAATCAGAATCAGAACAATTAAAAAAAATACTATCATAAATCCATCTCTCGCCACCGGACAGCTAAACCCCCTCACTGCAGAACACATACCTACACACGTGCAAATGGCTTCAATTAGAAACGCGAGATTTGATTTGTCATTTTTTGGCTAAATCACTTAGAGCTTGCTTCTCCGCAGATATGAGCTGTAACCCTAGACCCTACATTAGGAGCTATCTGGAGACAAAAGCTATATGAGCATTACACACTGCAACAGGGACAGATGTGTTGCCAAGATGGTTGCTAAGGCCATTACTGACTGTAATTCTAGCTATGACTCATAAAGACTGAGTAAAGACAATATTACATTATAAACACATGGATCACAGAGAACCACCAATTTTTGAAGTCCAAAATGGTGAGTGTGAGTTTTCCCTTTCAAAGTCAATTGGTGCCAGAGAGAGTTGGAGCAAAACTATTTTTTCACGAGAAAGCTAAATAAAGCCCCAATAGGCAAGTGTTTATGGACAAAATTTGGCTCCTATTGACCTAGTCAGCTCAGTGTCACACTCCCCATTTTGGGCAAAAAAATTCTAAAAAAATCTCTGATCCTGGTGTTTCTATGGTAATAAGAGCCAAAAAAAAGATTAACCAATCAGATCTTACCAACACATCTGCTCCAGTTACGGCCACGAAGCTCCGTCAGAATAAATGCCCATATAAAGAAATGGCCTCCAGCTAGCTTATGTTCAAATCAGCTTCTTCCGCCCTCAGCAAACACTATGGTGATGTCACACTCGGTCAGTCCACTCCTTACACACAGTGGACCGACCCGTGTGTGTGACTCATGCTAAAATCATCTCTTAATCATGAAATGCCGACGTTCAAACATCTAAAGATCGTGTTCAGTCATAACATTAGTTGCACGCCGTCTCTTTAAAAGACTCAAATCCAGCCTGACATTCCAACCGGAGCCACTGGACGTCCCGTAGAACCCTGTACGTGTTCTTCACAGTGCCACAAACACTTCCACCAAACAAGGACATATACACACTACAGGCCCCGCCCACCAGAGTCCGCGCGCACAGGAGCGGAGCGCGCTGCAGTAGTCGCATCAGAAGTTAGTAGTAAAGAGACCCGGGACGTCCCGCCGAGGAGGAGGGAGAGGGGGGTGGAGTGGTGTGGTCCGGGCTGACGGGGCGGGGCAGGGCAGGGCGAGGCGGGGCATTACCAGCTGAGGAGGTTACTGCGGCCCAGAGTCATGAAGTAGACCTGACTGGAGCCTCCAGAGCGCACCGAGGCAAAGAACACCTGCAGGACACAGGGACAGAGGGGTCAGAGAGTGTGTGTGTGGGTGTGGGTGTGTGTCTGTTGTGTGTGTGTGTGCGTGTATGTGTGTGTGTGCGTTGTGTGTGTGTGTGTTGTGTTGAGTGAGTGAAACTATTCGGAGCTAAATAGGCGCTTGCTATGTCCAACTCATTTTATCTTGGTTCTGCACAAGGCTGAGTCTCTGTAACAACAGGGAAGAATGTCCACATTTGATAGTTTGTTTTTTATTGATCTCCCGTGTGAGATCAATAAAGTATATCTTATCTTAAAAACAGATGTTTTAAGCTTTACAATTATTATTTTATTGCTTTTTCTACCTGTAAACGAAACTGCAGTACAGTGTTCATAGTTCAACACTGATCCAGACCAGAGCAGAGAGAATCGAACCAAGCAGATCAAGCAGAAATCCATTGAAGGAATGCAAATGTTTTGAAAAATGCTAACAAAGCATTCTGCATTTTACTCTGGACCAGAGCAGAGAAAATGGTCTGAACCAAGCGGCTCCACCACCTCTGCTGCTGTGACTTAAAGTGCTCTTGCATTTTAATACTATTGTTAGCTATTTTTATGATTATCTATTTATTTGTTTTGTTTGTATGGATGTGTGTGTTTCTGCTGATAATGGACACCTGAATTTCTCCTTCGGGGATCAATAAAGTATCTATCTATCCATTTGAGAGGGACACTGTGGTCCATACAAAGTTACAGCAGAAAAGGTGTAACTGATGCGACACATGCAGAGTGTAAAACTAATGCTAATTTTCAAATCCTGGCCCTTTTATTAATTATTGCATTTAGGTTTCAATGATTAGGGTAATATAAATTGAGCAGTGATAAAAGTATTGTTGTATAACATGCCATATTTGCTCTCTCAGACTGAAGTCTCGTCTCTCAAGTGGACTCCGATGTCCACTTGAGGGACTACCTAAACTACCTTTTACAGGTCGCAAATGGCCCGCGGTATGAAACAAATGAACAGTTCAGTTTGGTCAGAGTAGTGGTTACCTTGTCGTTTCTCTCGCACAAGAACTTGAGTCTCTGTGCTCTCTTATGCATAAACACCCCGTCCAGGTGCCCTGTCTCCACCGAGCGGATCTCGATGGCCTTCTCCCCCCAGCCCATGATCTGGTTGGACCGGATGTACGCTGCACACACACAAACACATTTTACTTACATAATTCTTTCTGCTGGGACAAACAGCATGTATGATTTATGAAAGAAAAGTTCAGTGGCCTAGTTTCAAGGCCTTACAGTATTCGGCCCCCTTGAACCTTTCAACATTTCACCACATTTCAGGCTTCAAACATAAAGATATAAAAATTAAATGTTTTGTCAAGAATCAACAACAAGTGGGACACAATCGTGAAGTGGAACAAAATTTATTGGATAATTTAAACTTTTTTAACAAATAAAAAACTGAAAAGTGGGGCGTGCAATATTATTCGGCCCCCTTGCGCTAATACTTTGTAGCGCCACCTTTTGCTGCAATTACAGCTGCAAGTCGCTTGGGGTATGTCTATCAGTTTTGCACATCGAGAGACTGGAATTCTTGCCCATTCTTCCTTGCAAAACAGCTCGAGCTCAGTGAGGTTGGATGGAGAGCGTTTGTGAACAGCAGTCTTCAGCTCTTTCCACAGATTCTCGATTGGATTCAGGTCTGGACTTTGACTTGGTCATTCTAACACCTGGATACGTCTATTTGTGAACCATTCCATTGTAGATTTGGCTTTATGTTTTGGATCATTGTCCTGTTGGAAGATAAATCTCCGTCCCAGTCTCAGGTCTTTTGCAGACTCCAACAGGTTTTCTTCCAGAATGATCCTGTATTTGGCTTCATCCATCTTCCCATCAATTTTAGCCATCTTCCCTGTCCCTGCTGAAGAAAAGCAGGCCCAAACCATGATGCTGCCACCACCATGTTTGACAGTGGGGATGGTGTGTTCAGGGTGATGAGCTGTGTTGCTTTTACGCCAAACATATCGTTTTGCATTGTGGCCAAAAAGTTCGATTTTGGTTTCATCTGACCAGAGCACCTTCTTCCACATGTTTGGTGTGTCTCCCAGGTGGCTTGTGGCAAACTTTAAACGAGACTTTTTATGGATATCTTTGAGAAATGGCACTCTTCCATAAAGGCCAGATTTGTGCAGTGCACGACTGATTGTTGTCCTATGGACAGACTCTCCCACCTCAGCTGTAGTTATCTGCAGTTCATCCAGAGTGATCATGGGCCTCTTGGCTGCATCTCTGATCAGTCTTCTCCTTGTTTGAGATGAAAGTTTGGAGGGACGGCCGGGTCTTGATAGATTTGCAGAGGTCTGATACTCCTTCCATTTCAATATAATTGCTTGCACAGTGCTCCTTGAGATGTTTAAAGCTTGGGAAATCTTTTTGTATCCAAATCCGGCTTTAAACTTCTCCACAACAGTATCTCGGACCTGCCTGGTGTGTTCCTTTGTCTTCATGGTTCTCTCTGCGCTTTAAACAGAACCCTGAGACTATCAAAGAGCAGGTGCATTTATACGGAGATTTGATTACACACAGGTGCATTCTATTTATCATCATCAGTCATTTAGGACAACATTGGATCATTCAAAGATCCTCACTGAACTTCTGGACTGAGTTTGCTGCACTGAAAGTAAAGGGGCCGAATAATATTGCACGCCCCACTTCTCAGTTTTTTATTTGTTAAAAAAGTTTAAAATATCCAATAAATTTCCTTCCACTTCACGATTATGTCCCACTTGTTGATTCATGACAAAAAAATTTAATTTTATATCTTTATGTTTGAAGCCTGAAATGTGGCGAAAGTATTCGGCCCCCTTGAAAGGTTCAAGAGGGCCGAATACTTTCGTAAGACACTGTATATGTGTAAAGCAGGGGTATCCCAACTATTTAGAAAGAGGGCCGCTTTAGTTCACTAGCCATGTCCAGGGACTGACAACATGGTTTGTAAAACTGTTTTGACTGAATCCAAGAAAACATATTGGATGTTGTTCTCAATCTCAACCAATTGAGTTTGAAATGAAGATAAATAATATTACTCAGAATCCTACTGTGGTGGTAGTATTACATTAGTAAGAGTAGTTTTGCCGTACCGACAGAGGTGGGCATCTCTCCCCACTGCAGCACCACGTCTTTGGTGATGCGGCCGTACGTGTTGACGTAGACGCCCTCGTCCTCGTAGCACACAAGCAGCTCGATGCCGTCGGTGTTGGGCAGGATGATGATGGCGTGGGACAGGATACTGGTCTGGATCTGAGCACAGACCACACACAAGCACAGCGTTTTTAGACAGGATCATTTTGGTCGGGACATGGAATGTGATTGTAAAACAAAAAAAACAACAAAAAAACACACTGCTCACCAAAGCGCGGAACTCTAGGCGTAAACTAACCCAGTGTGAGGCTCTTCTCACACGTGCCAGAAGAAAATATTGAATCTTAAGACTGAACTCAGGTCAAATATGTCCTTCATGTCTCTTGTGTTTTTGAGTGCGTTTACAAAGCCCTAAACTGTACTCTGTGGTTAAGCAGCAAGTAAACTGGTAAACGGACGAGACAACAGCAGTGATGCGTTTAACCTTCTATGCACATGGGTCATTTTGGGGAACTTTCCTCGCCTGGTTTTCTTTGTGTATAATTGTTCATAAAACAGTCATCTTTTGATGCAGAGTCAAGCAGTATACTTTGTTTTTTTCAGTACAACCTGGGGTTTTAGAATATTCATATTGTAAAGCTGTCATATGAATTATATAAAATTATGGAATCATGAAGACAAAGAAAAAAATAAAACGGAAAATCAATTTAACAAAAATGTATTGAAAAAACACAATGAAATGCTAAAAACAACTTTTTACACTGCATAGAAATGTTATTTGGGGATAATGGGGAAAAAAATTGAATCTCTAACCATTATACTTTTTACAAAATTCCACTATAAAAGCAAAAAACTCTGTACTCCTGATGCCCTTCCTGAAGTAGTTTGTCTATAATGCTGGGGTTGCTTCTGTAGCACAGCTGTAAAAATCGTAAAACATAAGAAACTGAGCCAAAAAAAAAGAAAAAACATCAATTATTCATATAATACATATATTTATATACATCATATACACATAATGTGATTTTACTGTATTTATTATCGTCTTTATCAATAATGCGCACTCTTCAGCCGGTAATTGCAATCGCAGCTGTAGTTTCAACTGTGGGAGAACAAATACAGACAGAGGAGTGAGAGATCTCACTCTCTGACGATCTTTGGCAGTCCCCGTGTGTTTGTATCTCACAGCTGTTTGTACCTCACGGGTCACGCTTTGGACACGGACTTTCAGACAAACGTAGTTTATCCTCCGTGCATCGCACAGACAAATCAAAACTAGTTTCGGAAAGCCCTGAATATGTACTTCACAGAGGAAAAAAAGTAAGTTGCTACGTTTTACCGTTCGTGAGTAAATTGATCATTTGTAAAACATGTGCGCATGCATCGGCGCCGATGCAGGCGGGTTCATAGGGTTAAGAGCACAGTGAAAAGCATAGAGTGTATATTAGGAGTGGACTGACCAAAAGCTGACGTCACCACAGTGTTTGCTGTACGCGGAAGAAGTCGATTTGAACATTTTTCATTTCATTTCATTTTATTTATTAGGCAGGAAAGATTTAAAACAAAATCGGGCCTGGCTCAGTACAAACTGATTTTCAGCAGGTTCCTGCTCTGCAGAACACACAAACACAGCATTAACATCACCACTCGACACAAAACATACTGTCACACATAAAAGAAGGAACACACTGGTGTGAGGCTATAGTGTCCGTCACTAGTGGTCACAACGATAGCTGTCCGTCAGATGTTTCAGCATAGTCTTTTTAAAAGGTCCAGGTGACTGTATGGTTCTTATGGTGAGGGGGATCTTGTTCCAGGCCCTGGTGAGCTCACAGAAGAATGAATTTTGTCCGTAGGTGTTCCTGTGGTGAGGTATGGGTAAGATTTGGTTTGTGGTGGATCTAGCTAGCTAGCTAAGCTAGCTGGAGCCAATTTCCTTATATGGGCATTTGTTCCAACAGGGTTTGCTTTGCACAGATGCTAAGATGGTTGCAAAGGCAAGGAATTTCCCTGTCAATGAAGGCATCTACTCAAATCCTTATATGGCTCATATTTCTGGATTAACAAATTAAGTATCACAACATAAACACCAGGATCAGAGAGTGGTAAACCATGTTTGTTGCTGAAAAGGGTAGGTGTGACAAGCCTTTCTCTATTGGGCTCCAAGAGCTAGAGGTTCAGCATTGTCCATCTATATACAGTCTATGGTGGAGAGCCTTGAGAGGCGTCTCCATGGGACAAAAACTTGTCAGAACTGTTCGATCATCCACTGAATTGAGTGAGGTTTTCAAACCTACTATTATTATTAATTAATATGTTTTGTAAACACACTCACTCACTGTATCTCCATGTGGATGTAAAAGAGACACAGCAGCTGTAGAATTCAGTGGCAAAAAAGTCAAACAAACAAACGTGTGTGTAAAACCCGGCATGTGTCCATACATGTGTGGGCAGGTAGATGTCGTAGACCGCTCCCGAGTCCACATCCACAGCATGGAAGCCGGAGTAGGAGCCGTAGATAACCTTCAGCCTCTGGCCCTCCTCCACGGTCAGGTCCACCATCAGAGGCTTGTGCACCAGGTCCCCAAAAGACTGCACAACAAAAACAAACCCCAACAGTAAGACCTGGAGCTTGGCAGAGAGTGTATGACAGTCCGTTTGGAGATGTAGGCAGAGACAGGGCCTTTTGACCATTTCTTCTGTCATGTCACTAAAGGTCAACCGATACGGGTTTTCTGTGGTTGATGATGATTTTTTAAAAGTTCGACTGGTCTATAGACACGCTGGAATCCTGGGGGGAGAAGACACTCGCTAAAATCGTCCTGAGGGAAAGATTTATAGAGTACCGTTGAGGAGCGGACCCATCGCAACTTTTAACGTTGACATTTAATTTTGGACAGGATTCACGGTGATGATGAAACAAAAAACAGATGATTCTCACAACTTTTGGACCTTTGAGCGGAGGATCAGAGTTTGAGGCTGTGATTATTGTAATGCGGTCTCTGGCAAATAGGATATTTTTACAGTTTGAAATAATCCTTCGGGGGTTACATTCTTAAAATAACTTGTAAAAAGCAAATTTAGCAAAGTAGCAGCTTTATGTTTTAAGGCTGTAAAACCTCTCACACAAACTCCTGAGGAGCAGGAGCAGGACTGAGGGCTACAGGACGACTGCTGTAGTCCTCTGAACTTATCACTTTGTTGCAAACAAGAAACAGTTTTCTAATGACTTTAAAGAAAGGTAACTCATGTAATACTAGTGGTTATTTGACTTAGTAGATTATGTGATAGAAGCTGTAGAAAAATTAAATATTTGTGTATAGTAACAGGTTCATTAAACGAAGAGGAAAACAAGTCCACCAAGATCTCCAGAGTTTTAATTTGAGAGTGGAGTCATGATTGGATTGGACTAGTTTTGTGTTGATTGTTGACTTTAGTTGCTCTAAAGTGGTGATTTCCTGAGAAAACTGCAAATGGGGAGAGGTTCAGGCTACATTTACTTGTTTGTATTGTATTGTTGTGCGAGATATGTGCGAGATGTGTGCGAGATGTGTGCGAGATGTGTGAGAGATGTGTGAGAGATGTGTGAGAGATGTGTGAGAGATGTGTGAGAGATGTGTGTGAGATGTGTGTGAGATGTGTGAGAGATGTGTGAGAGATGTGTGAGAGATGTGTGTGAGATGTGTGCGCGCTCACCTTGAAGGCCATAAACTTGTGGTAGGGTTTAGGGGCCCAGGCGTACACCTCCACAGAGTTCTTCAGAGCCAACACCAGGAACTTGATCCTCTCGTACTTCACTGTGGGACCACATCCAGAGGACATGTTACTTCAGTATGTGCCGACATTTTTCATTTAGCCAGAATGAGAAGTGAATCAAGTCATGTCAAATTTACTTGTATGACACAAGTCAGATAAAAGTGAAGAGGTGCTGCCGTTGAATCGCAGCGCAAACTCTGCGTGTGTCCGGTCAGAGTTTGGTCCCACATGGTGTCATAGGGATTCTTACTAGGGCTGCTTTTATTTTTCTCATTTTAATAAATCTTTTATACATACTTGCACAGTTCTTTCGCCAATACAGTGAGTTGAGGAGAAAGAACAAGTCCCTCTCTTGAGCCCCATGGTGAATGAGTTATAATGCTCAGAGTCGAGAAATTGTGAGATTTTCCAGTCTTTCAGTTACTGGCATATTCCAACTTCTTACAGTAATGCTGAGTTGGAATCAGACGTTTCAGCCATTGCCCCACTCTACATTGTCCCTGTGTGAAGTTTGACATTGGAATCCCCACACGTTGGCACATGTTAATTCCACTAGACAGAGCCGTGTGTGTGTGCATGTGTGTGCATGTGTGTGTGAGAGTTTCCAACACAGGAAGCTTTGCAATACAAATTTACGTCCAGACTAAAACGATGTGTGGTGGTGACATTGTGAGCTGTTGCTGAGATAACATTGTGAAAGACATACAAAAGCAGAAGTTGGCCACTCCATGTTTTGCAGTAAGGCACAAGTCTGAGCAGTCTGAGCAGGGGCTTCCCTCTCCACACAAACTTCCTCCAGAATTCTCAGGCGTTCCCAGGTTGGGTCTTCCCCTGGTCTCCTCCCGGCAGGACAAATCCTGGAACACCTCCCCAGAGAGGCGTCTAGGAGGCATCCAACACAGATGCCCGTGCCACCTCAACTGGCTTATCTCCACATGGAGGGGCAGTGGCTCTACTCCGAGCTCTTACCGAGGGTGAGCTCCTCACCCTATCTCTAAGAAAGCGCCCAGCTTCTCCTCTGCAGAGTGGACCGCAACGGTCCACATTTGTATCCACGATCTCACCCTTCTTCAGTCAAAACTCCAGACCATAGGTGATAAAGTGGTAAATTGAGAGCTTTGACTGCAGACCCTGCTCTGAGCCTTCAGAATCTCATGCTCTATATCTCTCTCACTACTGAACAAGACCTCAGAGGCTTGAACTCCTCTACTGTATTTATAGCATTGGTGATCATTAACACACACTGTATCAACTAAATACAATTGCAACATTGCAATAACGTCTTTAAGTGCACATGAATGACACATGAAGAACACTGGCCACTGACCGACTTTGTAGTGCACGCAGCCCTCCAGATCGCCCACGGTGGTCCAGCCCTGCTTCTTCTCCACCTCGGGGTCGTTGTGGAGGATCTTGTTCCGGAGCCACGACAGGTAGTACACCCGCAGCTTGTTCTTCTTACCTGGCAACGCACACACACGTCTCACTGCTGGTCTTCACAGAGTACAGGGCAGGAGTCATTAGGTTTTCACTTTTCTGTCTGATCTAAAGATGTGACAGAGGTCAAAAACACATAAATGAGAAAACTAGTGATAGAAGCAAAATTTTTTGAGAGCAAGAAACTAGTTACACTTATTTCAGCTTTAAAAATGTTTTTTGTCATAGATATGTTATCGTTTTCTTGGAATGTCACCCAGTTTGCTTTTAAGTATTCTGTGTTTCTGCTTTAAAGCTGATTATAAATTAGGAGGAGATGGTGGATGTACCTGTAGGAAAGAGCACAAACAATAGTTGCAAGTGTGTTTCAAATTAGCGACAAACGTCATGAGACAGAGCGCTCCATTTACAAGGAGCATCATGGCAGAAACATGCTTTTTCCACATTTAGTTTCACATGAGGAACAGTGAGAAGGTTGAGGTCTCAGGATCTGAGACTTGGTTCCAATGGAACAAGAAAAATAGAAACCATAATAGGAACCAGACCAGCTGAAGGGTTTAAAAAGGTCGATCTTGACCTGAACTGGGGCCAATAAAAATGTAAGATGTAAGTGGACTGACCGAGTGAGACATCACCATAGTGTTTGCCGAATGTGGAAAAGGCCGATTTAAACAAAAGCTAGGTGGAGCCAATTTCCTTATATGGCCATTTGTTCCAACAGCATTAGCTTTGCACCGTAACAGGGACAGCTGTGTAGCTAAGATGCAAGCTGGAGTTTCCCCCGCAAATGAAGGCATCCAATTGGTCAATTCTTATGGTTCATCCATGGATTTACAAAGACTATATCGTAGTATAAACACCAGGAACACAGAGAGCGATAAACCAGATTTAAAAAACAAAAAACAAAATGATGATTGTGACACAAATCGAGCAAGAGGAGTTCACTTTTCAATGTAAGTGAAGGTGAGTTGGAGCAAAACTTCATCTGTGAGGACTTCCCTATTGGGTATTATTGAGCAAGGAGGTTAGCATTGTCCATCTATATACAGTCTATGAGTCCAAGTCAGAACCCAAGCTGCAGTTTGGAATGAGCTTCCGCTGCTGGATTGATTTACTGGGACCGACCACAACAACTCGGCTCCCACCACCAAACCCGGTGTCAAAACAGTCACATCTGTCACAGGATGTTGAGACACCTGGTGGAAGCGTCATGTAAGTGTGTGTGTGTGTGTGTGTGTGTGTGTATGACTGTGTGTGTCTCTTTGTGTGTGTCTGTTCGCTTCTGCTGATGTCACAGGTGTAAACTATGTCATGGAAAATGTCAACACGACAACCGCACTGACACGGTAACATACAACCACATGTTAAGAAATGTGTCTGATAGGAAGTAGACGACAATAGAAGCAGCAACATGTTAAACTGCAAAGAATGAAATGAGTCCAATTATTTCTGTAATTCAACCTACAATTTGGAACTAATATGCACCAAAGTGAGTAGGTCATAAATTAGACAGGAGAAAACTCATTCTCCACTCTCAAATCTCATGTTTTGAAAAAGAAAAAAGAGCAGCAGTAGCAGTAGTAACAAAAGCAGAAACAGCAGTAACTGCAGTAGTAGTAGCAGCAGTAGTAGTAGTAGTAGTTACTACTGCGGCGGAGTAGTGGCCTCTTCAGTCCTGCACCGCACGGCTTCTGTATCCGTCCTACTGCCTCAGAATCAGAATCAGAATCATTTTTATTGCCACGTAAGTAACAGGAGGTCACAGACTTTGAAATTGCTTTGGCTCGGTGCAACAGTCAGAAAGAGATAATAAAAAATAAAGAAAAAACACTTCTAAGGAACAAATTTAAAATTAAAATTAAGTTACAATCACTATATACAATACAGTGCACATGGTGCACACAATGTAAGGTGACAGCAGTACAGTGAGGTAAAGTGACATTATAAAGAGCAGTAGGGGACTTCTAGAGGGCGGGGAGGTTAAGAAGTGTTCAAGTGTTCAAGAGTCCAACAGCAGAGGGGAAGAAACTGTTCTTGTGGCGGGAGGTTCTAGTCCTGATGGACCGCAACCTCCTGCCCGAGGGGAGTGGTTGGAATAGTCCATGTGCAGGGTGAGAGGGGTCGGCTGTGATACGACCAGCCCGGCCTCGAGCTCGGGCGACGTACAGGTCCTGCAGCGTTGGAAGGCTGCGGCCGATCACTTCCTCTGCAGAGCGCACAATGCGCTGTAGTCTCTGTTTGTCCCTGACTGTGGCTCCAGCGAACCACACGGTGACGGAGGAGGTGAGGATGGACTCAATGATGGCCGTGTAGAACTGCACCAACATCTGTGCAGGCAGCTTGGCTTTCCAGAGCTGCCGCAGGAAGTACATCTCATTCCGTGGGACTGGATCCCCTCTCTTGGCCCCTAACAGAGGTTGCTCCTTTTTTTTTTTTTTTTATTTGAGTTGTTCCTTCCAGATGCAGGAGGGTCTAAGGACAGCGGTGATCCAGGACATTAATGGACATTTATAAATAGTAGCAGCGTCCTGACCAATCAGAATGCTGCTGATGGTGTGGATTTAAAGAAAACCGATGGATTTAACGAGAAAACAGTTCAGGATGAAAAGGGACAGTAAAATCCCCACAAAATCTGACCTTTATGAAAGCTGTAGGTTCTCTGTCAGCATAGATTGAGCTGTTTTAGTTTAGTAGTAGTAGTAGTTTATTTTCTTTGGCCTATATGTACATTAGATCTCAGGTCACATGTTTATAAAGATTGTATATACATTTTACAATAATAATTATTTTTATTACTATTACAATGTGACAATACATCCAAAGATGACACATTATACAAGTTCTCATGTAGCATTAAACTTGAACTTCCATTATCAAGAATTATTAAGCATAATCCAATTCATGTGTACTAAACTTCTCCGTGGTAATTGACTCATAATTTTTTTTTAAATGTATAACTTTACATTGAGTTCTATGGGGAAAATGTCTGGATAGCCCACGTGAATGTAGTCTTATTTAGTCTGCAGTACCCCGGAATTCCCTGAGCTTGTGGGTGCATCAGCAATAAGCTAGTGACACCCTATCCAGTTAATATTATAGATCCATGAGTAGTACCTGATATAGTGACCAGCACGTTCAGCCCCTCCAGCACGTCCATCTGTTGGAAGCGGCGGCGGTTGATCAGAGGGTAAACTTTTCCCTGTCCACTTCTGTCCAGCAGCATCAGGCCGCTCTCTGTGCCCACCAGCAGGTTCACTCCTGACCACAACAACGCACAACGGCTTTACACACTTCATTCTACCATTATACCTTCTACGAGTCAGTTTTAAAGTCAGCTTTCACACCAACTTTAGCTTAATAAATTGATAACATTATATCTTTGCTTCTAGCACATCTAGCTTTATCTAGCTTACGGGTCTTTAACTTCTGAACAAGTCATTTTAATTGATATTTGCTTTATTGCACGTTCTGAATATTAGCTCTTTACATCTGGGCCTTACTTGAAACATTTCTGACCAAAAATATTTGAGAAGTGTGGCTCTCAAATATTGAGAGCCACACTTCAGCCAAATATCAGCATACTACAAGAAGATGAAAGCAGACACAAATAATTGCAGTTTTCTGGCAACTCAAGTGTTTTAATTTACTCAGTAAAAGTATACTATATAATCTTGGATTGTATATTGAGCCGTTTTAGTTATTTTCCATAAATATCTCTGTTCATTATTCAACTTGAAACGTTCCTCAGAGGAACAACCCTGAACAGTGTCTGATGTAGTCATTTAATCCAGCACTCTGGTGATCCTTGTGTCTGTGCTTCCCCCTGCAGGCCACCCTCACACAGCAGTGTTTGTGTGTGTGTGTGTGTGTGTGTCTGTGTGTAAATATATAATATATATAGTGTGTGTGTGTGTGTGTGCGTAAATATATAATATATATAGTGTGTGTGTGTGTGTGTGTGTGTGTGCGTAAATATATATATAGTGTGCGTGCGTGTGTACGTGTTATATGCGTTGTGATGGGCTTTCTCAGGTGAACACACTTCCTCCTCAGTCACTGATGTTTTCAGGAGGGGAATTTCACTCATTTATCCATAAAATGCAGTCGTAAATTAAATATTAGACAACATTTTATCTCGAGCAATATTAGAAGAGCCTTCTGAGTTAATATGTGACACTGTGGCCGTGCATTGATTGGCTGAGACAGGTTACCTCTATGTCACTTTCCCATCTGAAATGGCTGACCTAAAAATTTTGGAAAAAGCAGGTACACTTTAAAGCTTTAACCCAAATGTATTTTGGAGTTTAACCAAAACATATTTTTCATCATGTTAAAGGACAACTAAACACCCGTGTCCAGCCTTACTCAGTCCACATGAACATTTGAAAATGTCTTTCAAAAAAAGAGCGTTGCCTGGAGGACCAGGGGACAGATGATTTTATACCACTAGCGCAGAGCAGCAGACGTCACACAGTAACAACTGACATCACTTTGCACTCCAAAGCCAATGGAGAAGCAAAGCACAAAATTCAAATGTAGTGCCCATTGACTGTAAATATTAACGGACGTAGTCACACCCATCTCCACCGTTCTAACTATGCCACAACTTCCGCGGTCTATGGGCAGTTTCAAAATGGCTGCGGGGGCAGAAAAATGTGAAAAAACGCATCTGCGCATGCGTCAGCCGGCACAAGCCCCGTTCATTTAATGAGTGCCTTCAAAAATTCACAGCAACTTAACTAGACTGGTCCAAAAAAAAAAAAAAACCCTCCCCTCAGTATTGACACACATGTGGAACGGAGCTTTGGGCCAAGAGCCAACTTTTGGACCATCCTGTAAAGACGTTTTCGAGAGGTAAGAAGATTCTATATTTTAGCATTGGCTAATTCTTCTTCCGGGTCCACCCCCATCGGCCCGGGGTGGTATTGCAAGCATGTCAGCGCACGTCATTTTGGCCACTTTTGAGCCGGGACCCGCCCCCACTGGTAGTGCCACCAAAAATGCAGGGAGGGCGCCACACAGACAGTTTTAGGCTCAAAAGTGAGATCCGATCTAATTTGCACTAAAATGTCAAAAAATGACCAAGACATGAAGTGAAACAGATGTATGCAGTTAATGATAAGAAAAAAGTTAATTTGGTGTTTAGTTGTCCTTTAAGCAGAATACACAGCGTTGATGTTGTAGGACTCTACTCCAGCTGGAGGGAACAGAAGCCATTGTTGTGTTTCACAAAATATTAAGATTAAGAGATCCTTTATTTGTCCCGCAGTGGGGACATTTTTTATTTGAATGTGTTTGGATTTACAAACCCGACTCCTATAGGTCTGAACGATATAAACAAATGTTAAATCTCGATATCAATTTGACACAATATAAAGTTGGTCAAATGCAAAACATTCCGATTGCCGCTCCAGCTCCAGTGAACAACCGGGGAAAGGACATTGAGAGAGTGGACTCTTACAAGTACCTGGGTGTTCATCTGAACCACAAATTGGACTGGACTCATAACACAGACGCCCTCTTCAAGAAGGGCCAGAGTCGACTCTACCTGCTGAGGAGGCTCAGGTCTTTTGGAGTGCAGGGGCCACTCCTGAAGACCTTCTATGACTCTGTGGTGGCATCAGCCATCTTGTACGGTGTGGTCTGCTGGAGAAGCAGCATCACAGAGAGGGACATGAAGAAGCTGGACAAGGTCATCAGGAAGTCCAGCTCAGTCCTGAGCTGTTCCCTGGACACAGTGCAGCAGGTGGGGAACAGGAGGGTCCTGAGCAAACTAACATCTATGCTGGACCATGACTGTCACCCCCTGCAGGACACTCTCTCTGCTCTGGAGAGCAGCTTCAGTGACAGACTTATTCACCCTCGATGTGTGAAGTAGTGGTTCCGCAGGTCTTTCCTTCCTGCAGCTGTCAGACTGTACAACAAACAATAAGGACTAATGAACACTGCCGTGCCAACCTGATTCCACGTGTCATTCTCGCATCGTTGCAATATCCTTATCTTATACCAGAATGTGCAATATACAGTTGTAAACATACTGCTGCTAATATACAGTTGTAAACATACTGCTGCTAATGTACAGTTGTAAACATACTGCTGCTAATGTACAGATGTAAACATACTGCTGCTAATGTACAGATGTAAACATACTGCTGCTAATGTACAGATGCTAACATATAACTACACTTTACTTGCACTAGAATACATAGTCATTTATACTTGCCTCTTATTTTGTCAAATGTTAAATTTTTACATCTATTATATTTTCAAGATAGAGATTTTATACTTATTATTGATAGAGTTAGATTGTTTTTATTTTGATTAGTATAGCTATTGTTCACTAAACATGTGCCGTGTGCTTCTCTTTCCTACTGTTCTATAACTTGTGATGCAACACCGAAATTTCCCCACTGTGGGACAAATAAAGGATCTCTTAATCTTAATCTTAAACATCTTCATAATAACCGCCTTCTACATTTATCACTGTTGGCTTCAGCTGTCGCTCCAAAGCATGGAATAAGGTTTGTGGTTGGTGGGCCGTGAATGATGCAGAGAAAAAAATTATGATTATAGACTGCATAGAGCGCATATTAGGAGTGGACTGACAAGAGTGTGACGGAAGAAGCAGATTTGAATATAGCTGGAGCCAATTTTGACGGTAGCTCTTTGGGAAATAGATCTGTGGACAAAGGTGTGGTGCAGGTGTGGTGCAGGTGTGGTGCAGGTGTGGTGCAGGTGTGGTGCAGGTGTGTGCTTACCCCAGAGCGCGGCGCACAGGATCTCCGAGTTGAACCTCTTCTTGTACTTCCGGATCTCGGGCGTGTCGCTTTGGGGGCGTGTGTTCACTGGGTTCACGTTCACTACAGACCCCTTGCGGGAAGCATCGGCCCGCAGCGCCTCCGCTAGCCGCGCGTCGTTAGCGTAGCCTAGCACGTCAAAGGGGAGGGCTTAGGAGGGGCACGGCGGCGTTGAGTGGGTAGGCGGGCAGGGGCGGGGCCAAACAGGCAACATTAGAAACATGCAACACGCAAATCAAAAGACAAAACAACAAGACGAAACTGAAAATAATATTGTCAAGAAAAGCCATACTCAGCCGACACGATGAAGGCAACACTATCTCACTGGTGATGTCACTGCTGCTCGTTTGCATGAGTGTATATGGGTACGTTAAAGCTGGAATACCTCAAAAATGTTTTCTTAAATTCTGTCAGTAATGAGAAGCTAATTAATTAATGATCATGCTAATAATATATAAATATGATCATTTTAATATGCAGGCCTTCATTTAAACATGGTGGACACACTACAGTACATGCACATTAAACAGCGAGTCAGCGTGCACCCCAAGTGTTTCCATAAACACCCACATGTCACATGTTTGAACACAAAAACATGCTGCAGGTACGACAATGACCACATCTGACTTTCGCAGTATCGCCAGAGGTTGGAAGTATTTACCTACACCTATAGGTGAACCACATTAACTGAAGCAAATATGTACAAATCTGAGGAGATGCCCTGTGCTTGAAACACAGTGGTCCCTTGTTTATGACAGGGTTGTAGCAGTGTTCCTAACACACACTTTATGCACTTTTCTAACCACCTGAATTAATGAATGCTGAAGTGCGATCGCAGAGATATTTCTTCTTTTGGTTGTAGGTCTGAGTGCTGCTGCACCTGTCAAAAGCTGTGCATACACTGTAAAATACAGCTGCAGAGGACACAGTGCTGAGAGGCAAGAGAGGATTGAGGACTACGAGAAGACCAGAGAGAGACCAGATAGAGGCTAAATTGAGACCAGAAAGAGAGAATCAGAAGTTTCTTCAACTCCAAATACAGGTAACTGTTGTGTTATACTAGCGATTATATGATGCTGTAAGAGTAAACATGCGGCGCATGGGAAGCACTCTGTAACAAAATTTCACATAAGTATATCCGCGAAACAGAGGCAAAAAAGTGCGAACAGTGTTATAGCGAGGGACCACTGTATAGACCTTTTTCTAAATAGGGGATTCCTTACAGAAGTGCTCCTCCTCTGACCATACCGCTGTCTTTCCAGCAAAGGGCGTGTGGAGCTATACGTACCAACGTTATTCAGAGCGCTGCCTGTAGAGGGCGACACCTGCAGTAGCCGCGGGTCAATGAACGGCGTGAACGACGACGAGGACTTGTGTTTCTGCATGTTGTTGCTGGACTGGCTCTGGGCGAGGAATTGTGCAAACACACAACTTTAGTACATAGTTACAAAAAATATAGAGATACACAACAGGACATGGGGATGGGGCAAAATGTCATGCGAACAATAAATGAGGAATGGTCCAAATTCAAAATACAGGTCTGGACAAAATGTCAAATGAACAAAACGTAAACGACAGGAGAGTAGGAATGCAGGGAGTGTACTTGCCGCTGTGCGCTTTTCATGTGGGCTCAAACTAAAGAGATTTACACAGAAAGTCAGCATTATGTGTTCACTTTGACCTTCACATGTGAGAAGAGTCATTTTATGGTTTAAAACAGGCATGGGCAATTATTTTCTTTGGGGGACCATATAACAATATTTCCCTATTGTGGAGTGCCAGACCCGTTTTCATGTGGTTAATTTTGTATTTAATTTAGCAAAAAGCTATTTCAGATTATTACTAACAAAACATTTTGGGTTCATTAATTAGATCAGAATAAACAAACAAGCCTTTATTGGGTGTAGCAACAGACCAGTATGAGCTTACTGCCTGGGAAGGGTCCAGGGGCCGCACGTTGTTCAGGTTTTAGAATGTGCAATCATTTCTTAAAGCTGGGGTACCCGACTTTTCTTTATAGTAATGCATTTTTTTAAATGTGAACATATCAGACACATGTCATCTTCATCTTATTAGAAAACATGGTTCTCTCCGTTTCCCTTTCCTGCCGGTAAAAAGTGATCTAAATATGCGACAGAGGCCAAAACTACATGCCTCTTAAAACTAGTGACGGAACTGTTTTAGAGCCAGACACTAGTGACATGGTTTGGATTTTCTTCAGAGTCCTCGTCTGGATTTTCTTGTAGCTTCTGAATCCCCCCAAATTCCCCACCCAAAAAAGATGTTTGAGGACCCGATTACATCAACAATGATGATGCAAATATTTGTGGTTTTTGCCTCTGTACATATAGAGGCCAGGACTAGGCCAGGACTGGACAAGGTCTAAACCAACGGGACTTCGCTGCCGACATGTGGTTTGAAAATTAGGTTCCCCAGCCTTAAGTTGAAAATGTTGATAAGCAACATGTTTAATGGATTAGGTCCTGGGAAGTGTAACACACTTTTATTATAGATACGGTGCAGTCTGAAGGCAGTTGTAAAGAACATCATTTGACAGAAAAAATGAAAATCTCAAAACTAAATTTTGAAGCAATACTTTTGTTTTCAAGCAGAAAAACAGCTCTGTCCATGATGTTATAGTCTGAGGAACGAGTTTGAAAACAGAATTTAGACAGAAGGGGCGTGGGACGTGTTTGTGCCAAAAACACACAAGACTGTTTTAAATTGATTTTTGTAGCAGATATTAAGATAAAGAACACTAAGCCAAGAGGGTTTTCAAATATGCTTTCAACAGCCTGAAGGCTCAAGTGAATTTACAGATTTGCTAAACAAAAAAAATAAATCTAATTCCAGAACCAGGCAACAGAAGGAGGACGTGAATTCGATATAGTGCATTTGATCAAAGAAAATAGCCCTTGGACTACAATTGAATAATAATTTTGTGCAGAGCTCTAAGTCTGCACTGGGGAAACACTGAGGAACTTGTGAGAATAATCCAGAGGGTTTTCTGCTTCTCACAGCAGTGTAAAGTATGACCTGTACGGCTGCTTGTTAAAGCCTGGTCTCATCAGAGGTTAAGCATGTCAGGGCCAATCAGTACTGTGATGGGAGACTGCTGTAATCACTGTAAAGTGCACACGGTGTGAATAATGGTGAGGGTCAGTAAAGCCCCGTTTCTGTTATTCTGCCCGAAGGCAGCTGTGGCCACAACAGCAGCGCACCACCAATATCTTGAGTGTGATGTCTTTCAAATACAGAATTATAATTCTAGTGAGTAAGTGAATGATTGTGGTGATAGAATTGAGGTATCCAGTGCTATCGGCCCTGGCTTCTGTCAGTCTGCCCCAAGGCAGGTATGGCTCCCGCCGCTCTGTATGGAGAGACTGAAGTGACTTCTGTGTAGCGCATTGAGAGATAGGTGCAAAGCATTACTAAAATAATAATTATTACAATGATTTATTGTTTTGAGTCAGTCTTTGGAGAAAGAATCTAATCCAACTACACGTGCTTCTAAATTCACGTCCTACAGCTGCTTCCATGTCAGGTTTGTGACATCCCAAAGTCTGTGTCTCTGCTCCCGGTGCGTGCGTACCTCCTGCAGCATGGCGATCTTTTCCAGCGGGCTCATGGGACTCATGGGGCTGTGGGGGGACGAGTGGGGGGGTCTGTGAGGGGGCGACACGGGGGAGACATGGGGGCCACCCTGCTGGAGGAGGTCCGGCAGCAGGTGCAGGCGGCTCCGGTCCTGGGGCGTGTGTGGGCTGTGGTGGGGGTGGTAGGGGGAGGAATGGGTGACGTGGTTGAAGCCTGATAGAGGCCCTTGCTGCTGCTGCTGTTGAAGATGATGATGGTGGTGGTGATCCTGATGAAGCTGGAAGTACAGAGACGGATAGAGGCGGGCGGCGGGGCGAGCACACGCGGGGGAGGGAAAGGTGCGAGCTAGTGCACTAACGTGGCTAATCTGTGTAGTCACGGAGGAGGAGGCAACCACATGGGCAGGAGGTCAGAGCAAAGTGTTAAAAGTGTAGAAATCCAGAGAGGTTAGTGCTGGTGCTAAGTACAAGTAGAAGGTGGTCCCAGGTTTTATTCCCAGTGTTAATTTGCATGTTCTCCCTGCGTCTAACATTAAAAAAAAGTGCATGATCCTTCAAAAGAATATCTCCAAGTCAAGTGGCAGAATATTGAAATATATTCTTACGTACAAAACAAATAAACTCAAAGCTCAAATCACAGACTGTAAATAGGTTGAGCCTGTTTGAGTTGGCTTTAATTCTCACGGAACCTGTTTGAATTGGCGATAATCTGTGTATTGTGAGCCCATCCTAAGATATGTATTTAGCTATTTCAAGTCTAAAATGAGTTGAAGATTTAAGTGTTGTCGCACCAAAGGCTAACATGACGGACCCAGCTGCATGATCAGGTATCTTATCTGATGAATCTGCGATGCATTCACTGGAGAAAGCATTTCTGACATAGGAAGAACATGCAGACTGCCTCAGAGAGACATCCGGAGATCCATTTCAAGAAGAGATATGAAGTTAGTTTAAGCCATTAGACTGATTATGTTTTCTTTGAACCGGTTTAGAGTCCAGTAGTTTTTTGCTGACTGCCATAATGTTTTGTAATAGAGGAAAGCCCTGTTTGAAAGATTCCCATGTTATCCAGCGACACTCAGAAGCAGCTGCAAGGTGGAAGAAGAACCAACGGTGAGGAAACAAACAGAACATGAAAGAAAGAAGGAGTGGAGAACTCAAAAGGATGACGCGTGCCACAGGTGGTCAAGTCGGCTCAAGTCGGCTCAAGTCGGCTCAAGTCTGCTCAAGTCTGCTCAAGTCTGCTCAAGTCTGCTCAAGTCTGCTCAAGTCGGCTCAAGTCAGTTCAAGCATGGGACCATGATTAAAACTGGGTGTTCTGATTAATGTTAACAAAATGTATTCTAGTAACTAAGTCAAATGTGCAGGAGCTATACCCGATTCTGCAAGGTTTTTTTTCAGTTTGAATGTGTAGCACAACCCCCAAACTCGCTCACAAGCTTTTCAGTTTGAGAAACCCTCCTGCGATCTGATAGGTAAGCAAACATCAGCATTAGCACAACTTCTCGAAAGCTGTACAACAATCACTGATGAAATGAAGTACAGTACAGTACAATAACTGAAAAATGACCTATCAAGAAGAAAAATCACCAGTTTTGTGTCCAAATTTAGTCTGAGGCGGTCCAGCAGGTCTCTCCATAATGTTTCATGCTGTATTCTTTTCGGTACACATCACAAACTTCTCAATTCCCCCGACCTCCATATAGAGTTCAGTGATGGGTCAAAGATGCATAAAGCTGAATCCATTAAATATCTTGGATTGTGGCTGGACCCAGAGCTTAATTTCAAACCCCATATTGATTACATCATTAAAAGAACATACGCCACCATGGGCCCCCTGTTTCGTTCATCCAACTGTTTCACCCAGGAAGTTAGAAAGAAAATAATAACACAACTAGTTCTACCCATCATAGATTATTCTGACACCATCTACCAAAACACATATGACTCATACCTCAAACCTTTAAATACACTCTTCAACTGTCTTTGCAGATTCATCCTTAAATGTCCTTATTATACGGCTCCTCACAGCAGCAGTAGAATGCTCCATTGATTTGAATGTAATTTCAAAACGTTCTACCGGTCATTATTTTCTATAACTGACCTCTCAAAACAATAATGACCGCTGCCCATGGCAACACACTCTCTGCTTGTCTTTCAAATGCGTGGATAACTCCGCAAGTAGTTCCGGCCACTCCGGAGCTAGCCACGCTCAATCAACACACTTAAATGTTAATCGGAGAATACTTATACATATACATTCTTCACACACGTGCACGGAAATTTTCAGAATTTTCTGGTTTTGTCTTCATGACAAAAATACTATTTCTCTGCGTCAAAAAGCGATCGTGAAAAACCCGGAAGTAGTTCTGGCCGCTCAATAAACGCAAATGCCAATCAATCAACGCAATGAAATGTTAATCTGAGAGTAATTTATACATATCCAGTCTTAATACAAGTGCACGGAAGTTTTCAGAATTTTCCGTTTACGTTTTCATGACAAAAACACTGATGTAATGCGAGAAAAGGCGATCCCGAAAAACCCGGAAGTAGATACCGGCACATTTTAAGATACCGGCACATTTTCGGACACATTTGCAGAGGATCGAATTATGGATTTAGGTTAGGTTTATGTATGGGTCACTCACCGCTGATGTTCAGAATTCTTTGTTCAGTTTTCATGCAGTTCCAGAGAGTTCTAGTTTGGAAGTTGCCAGCCTAACTGTTGCTTGCCCGCGGTTGCCGAGCAACGGGAAAACTTTTTGGGACTACTTTATTTGCGCGTCGGGGTCCGCTTCGCCCTGTCGGTACTTATTTTCCGATAATGACCTGTAGGCTATACATTATCCCTTACTTATCGAACACATCACTGCACTTTATTTGAAAAACTGAACTTGTTGCAACCTAACCACAGACGTCACTTTCATTGGATGAAGTTCATTTTCAAATGTATTTATTTTAACTGTCCTCAATATTTAGAATTGTTTTTTGTCCCCAATTCACCAACCTATTCACTAAGAAGCACTAACTCCCTCACCTTTTCTGTTCCAAGAATCCATAAAGAAGTTGGAAGTAGAGCTTTCTCATACAAGGCTCCATCTGATTGGAATAAGTTACCCACATACATAAGATCCTTAACCTCCTTTGGCTTATTTAAATTGGAATTATCTAGATATCTTACCATTCCCTGTGCATGTTACTAGCTGTTTTTTACTTTTTTATTATAGTATATATATATTTTTTTTATTTTTTTTTTTATTTTGTAATATCTGGATGTATATTTTAAGTTGTATTATTCTATCACCCGCAGTATGTATGGCCTGTATTTGACTATTTTGTATACAGTTTGTATATGTTTTTTTTGAATGTGTTCTTATAGTAGGAGGTGGAGTTGGATCTGAGGGAGCAAACCTGTGTGTGTTAAATGTATAAATGTTAATTGTTTGTATGTACTGTATTATATGTATTGTGTTTGTTTGTTTTATGTTCATGGGACCCTCTCGAAAATGAGATGCTGCATCTCAAGGGGTTTTCCCTTAATAAATCTAAATCTAAAATCCAGCGAGGATACAATGCAAGCTACCTATATTCACCCGGGCTTGATTTCTTCTTTGATCATTTTTTCGCTTCCTCACTTTTGGGCCATTTTTCTGTGTATGCAGTTACAGCCAGAGGAGGTAAAGCCACTTTCTGCATTGATCCTCCTTCGACGGCCATGCTGTTCTGGTTTACCTGACGCTGGGCGCGCTAGAGGAGGCGGCCTCTTTGCAACAGCACCGCCCCTCAGTGTGCAAGTGGAGAAGAACTAGCATCACACAAAGTGTCAACTCAACATTTTGCATGGCCTGAATTCATATATAAAGCTGAATCAATGAGCTACATTTTTAAATCAAATTACGGGGATTTTAACCCTCTAAGTGCCAAAGTCGCAATATTGCCACAAGCAACATTTCTGAATAAAACATGCTGCATCTATAAATGTGGAGCAGAATCTTGTTAACCAGGGGTTGGTGGATATTCATTTCATACTAAAGATATTTCACGTTGACTGTTGACTCTCAAGCTAGCTTTTTGAAATCTTTATACCATAATTTACATTTTCCAATATGACCGACACCTTGACGACGTCACAATATGCAAATTAGATGACAAATCAATTTCCATCCCAAAGTTTGGTTCAAACTGAAGACGTTTCTAATTTACAGTATGTCTTTATCTCAAACAATTTTAAAGTTATATCCTTTTGAAATCTTGAAATCAAAATTGTATATTTTCTTGAAAAAACTCCGGCGCCTAAAGGGTTAATAACTTGTATGTAGTAATACGCATTTTTATGAACTCATAAAATAAATCAGGTATAGCTCTTTTAAAAGTCTGGACTACAAATTGGACTTGTGACTGAAAAACAATTGTCTACTATTGACCCATTTGTCCATAATAGTAGTATAGTTGCTACACATGTTTAGATGATGTGGAGCGATTTTGAGCTCCATCTGTGAAATGACCTAGGCGGAGACATTTTGAAAATCTCCAATATTCTTAATTTTTCCATTCTCATTCTGTACAGGTTTGTCAGGGGGCGTGGCCATAATAATAATATTTTTTGTATCATGAGTTGACGAATATATGTGCAGAGTTTTGGAGCTCGACACCAAACTTGACTTTGGACCGACTCCCAAAGGGAAATGTAAATTCACTTTTACGGGGAGCGCCGTTTCCAGGGTCGAGTTACTGAAAAATTAAAAAGTACAAAAAGTACAAAAAAGTAGAAGAAAAAAGAAAGGATTTATTTCTAAACGGCTATTCTGCTTATGGTCCCAGCCATAACCACAAACACTGTATGGTCCCATCTCTGGTCCGGTCTGGCGTGGTCTGGCCTGGTCAGGTGTGGCTGTACCTGTCGGACGATGAGGGTGCTGTCTTTACAGGGGGTGGAGCCGGCATCGCTCTCCCCGTCATCGCGGACCACCATGGTCTTTGCCGAAGGCAGCTCTCCATTGCTCAGCCTGCCGCGGAACACAGGGGGATGTTAAAGACCCAACTAAAACCACTTACCCACAGGTCTCTGTTGGGATTTTGCTGCACTGCCTGGTAAACATGCATGTGTGTATATGTGTATGTATGTATGTTTGTAAGTAAGTAAGTCATGTTTATTTATAAAGCGCATGTTACAGACCAAGGTCCCCCAAAGCGCTTTACATTGTTCAGAAGCGTACTGTACGTATACACTCTAAACTAATTAACAGGTTTTTATGCTTTTCCGCAGCACATTGTATAACTTGAATTCTGACCATATTTCAGTTCATGGATGTGACCTTTTTTAAGCAAAACAAACTGTACGGCAAGTTGAATAATGTGGAAAAGCCCTGGTCAAAGGTGAAGTGTGTGCGTGTAGCGGCAGTGAGCGAGTGGCGAGGACTTGCTTGGCTTTGCTGTCCTCCGGGCCGGACGTGGACTCCTCGCCGGCCTCCTGGTCCACCTCCTCGTCCTCCTCGTCCTCGCTGGTGTCCGAGTCTTCGCTGGAGGAGGAGTAGTCTGTGACTTTGTTAGGGGGGCGAACGTCGTCGGCCGCACGCAGCTCCTTAGCCAGCGCGGTGAGGTCCTGCGAGGGGACAGAGACAGAGGACCAGGACGGTCAATGAGGTGTGGAACAGAGATGGTCCACCAAAAGCAGGAGGGAACGGAGCTGCAAGTAAATCAGGTTAGAGTAGCAGCCAGAATGTGGACAAAGGACAAAAGCTCGGCCAAATATATGTCTGTGTAATAGACTGTATTTAGATATAGTCAATTTGAACCCACAAGCTCAATGAAGCCCAATAAAAAAGTGCTCATAGACAAAGTTTGCTGCAATTCGCTCTGGCTCCTATTGACTTACATTGAAAAGTAAACTCCTCTAGCTCTGTGACCGTATGTGTCACACTCACCATTTTTTTCTTAACAAATCTGTGGTTTAGCTTTCCTTCATCATTCATCTGAACAAAAAACACTAGCACATAATCAAACCAGGGCAACATTCTAGCCGGTCTAAATTTGGAAGTGAGAAAGGACCGCACTTGCAGCTCTCATGAAAAGACAACCTCATGTTGATGAGTGTGTGAACATGACACGGCTTCACTTTTGTCCGCTTTGTCCACATTTGCAAACCGTGAGAAGAAAGCATGAAGTCCGTTAGTTGCATAAATAAGAAATAAAGTTTTTATGAACCCTGCTGCAAAGATGAAACACATTAGTCCCATTTGTTTTTAGTGGAGCAGAGAAAGCACAGGCGGTTAGTGAAGTTCCCCCGCAGCCAAAAGCACCACACTCCTCTAACCACGACAGACTCTACGGCTAGCGGGCTAGCGGCTACAGGCTAGCTGGAGTCTATCTGGGTCTCACCGCCGGTTTGCTGGGCCGGAGCAAGTCCCGCCTCTCCTCGGGTTTTTTCGCGACCTGCTCCGCTCTCTGGAGGGGAGAGCCGTCTGATATGGAAGAGGCTGAGGAGTGCAAGTGGAACAGGTCAGAGACAGGAACAAATGTGGTTCATTCCGTTAAGGAGGAGTCGAGTTAAAACAGTTCTTCTATCTGCTTTCCATAGATTAGATTCAGCATAATTTAATTTGCCAATCGCAGTAAAACTACATTGGAATACCTGTGCAAATGTCCCCAGTGTGCACCTGGCAAGAACATAAAATTGCTTCTGGTGGGATATAGAAAGTAGTCTGAATCTGAATAAACTGATCAAGCTAAAGAGTGCTTTAGTTGATTTTATATGTCCAGTTAAAACAGATCTTCTATCTGCTTTCCCTCCGTCGAGTCCTCACACTGGCATTAGTCAGTGGGTGAGAGGGTGGTGGACTCACAGCGGGCCCTGGCTCTCTCACCAGACCCGCACTGAGAGCCCGGGTGAGAGCTGGAGCTGGAGGAGGAGGAGCTGGACCCTCCACTGCCCGTGTGATTGGTCAGTCTGGAGCTGGGAGACACATGGTTGGTGGGTTTGGGTTTCTCCACCCGCTCCCATAGCAGCCGGGGCTCTGCTGCGCTGTAACACAAACATAAATATAATTGAGATTTCAAGCACATTATCAACAAGTTCCAAAAGCATCAATTATTATTATCTGATAAGCTAATTAAACAGCATTTTAAGTCAGGGTTAAGACTTGTAACAGTGATACCGAACAGTAAATACTGCCGCCAACCCAAAATACCATTGAGATCATAAATACAAGTACCATCCAACTAACTTCAGCTATGCCATGGATGTCAAACTAATTTTGGGCACATATTTTTTATATCTTCATTATGGAGGTATATTGCATAACATTTGGAAATTAATGTCTGGTAGATTTCAGTTCAGTAACAGTTTGCTTGAATTGAACCAAGAGTGAAGAGGGTATGGGAATGTTATTGTAAATAATAATAATAATGTTAAGGTGGCTATTAACATGTAACCATCAAGGCTGCTATTTAATCATAACTGAAAATCAGTTCAGGGGCCACTGTGAACGAAGTCATGCATGCTGCACTTAAACCAGGGGCTCAGGCTCAGGACCGTTTGAATCCAGCAGTGTTTGACTGAAGCAACATCTATTTGTGGTTGTGGCACAAATTTGCACTGATGGAGCTATAGAAAGAAAATACAAATTTCTTATTCAGCAAAATTCAGCTTAGAACAGCCCGAATCTTGTCATAAAAGTTTGACAATCCAGGTTTTTGGCCCATGGACAAGCCTAGTTGGCTCAATTGGCCTTCTTAGTTATAACAATTGGACAGCCCTGAGGTAGCGGTCAACCCATCTGACCACTTTGAATGTATTATTTGCAATATGAGATTCTATATTTATATATAAAATATGTAAATAATTAAAAAATCATGTATTTGTTAATATTCTTTTGAAATTATTGAATTTTTCTTCTTTTCTTTTATGGCTTTGTTTTCTATATCATGAAGTTAACAAACGGAAATCCGTTCCCAATCGCGCTACTTCATGCTAAAACCAAACTTGATGTCAGATTGGTCAGTTGCTTGGGCTCATATCTAGATTTAAAAAGACAATATCAAACAATATGCACCAGAACAGGATGAGTCGAGTGTGAGATCACAGGTAAGGGGGGTAGCGCTTACCTGGCCACTGTCCGGTGTGCCGATTGTCCGCTTGGAGGGGGATTGCCGTGGCGATGGGGAGAGTCTCGCCGCGGGAGCACGGGCGATCGAGATGTGGTCCTGACTGGAACCTTATGGTGAAAACAATAGTCTGCATATAGGCACCATGCAACATAAAGTCTGCGTCAACTCTAGCCGAGGTGAGAGACCAGAGACATCACAGAGGCATTCAGCCGGACATACAGGTGTCACACTATTTTAATGTGATTGGTTCACATATTTAGACATCTACAGTGCAAATCTTGCCAATGGCCAAGAATGTACAATATGGGAGGACGTTTTCACCCGACAGCAGTAATGTTTTAAGTCTTTACTGTTATTGCTGCTGCTGTGTGCTCGCTGCCTTCTACCACTAGAGGGAGCTGTTGTGCGGTGTTGAGATTTATATACATGTCTTTCTGTTGTAATGATCACTTTTTTGGGACTGAGTTGGAGGGTTCATTTTGTGTTCTTAGTAGAAATAAATGTATTCGGTTCTTCTATACTAGATAATAGTAAAGTGAGCAATGTTATTGAATATCGTCGAAACATGTCAAAAACATTGCTAACTAATCTTGTCTGGAATAGAATAACCAAATACCTTTATAACCTCATTATAATGCAGCTGTTAATAAACCACATTCGTCCGAAAGCAGGAGGGTCTAAGATCAGTGGTGATGATCCAGGACACTCAATATTCAAGATTTTCTGCCCATTTGCGCAAAGAAGCAGCAGCAGGTGTTTTCAGCGTGTCTCAGCCTGGAAAAATCTATAATTTTCCTTGACGAGCTGCCATAGAGCCTGAAATCACTCACTATGTTAACGACAAAAATGTAAATCTCTATAATATTTAGCAAAAGAACAAATATTCAGAAGAACTTTGTAGTAATTTGTCCCTTAAACATTTGTATTTAGCCTTTTACATTTTATAATTTAAACAAACATAAAAAAAGAATTGTAGTGTGATCTAATTGAAGGCAGAGGGAGCAGAGTCATCACTATCAGGGATTTTGATGAGAAGCCAATTTTAGCTTGGAACATCGCAAGAACAGAGACGCATAGAAAAAAACCGTTTTCAGCTATTGAGAGATTGAAGTCCCACATTTCAAACCTGGTATAGCGTGTGCCCGTATCTAGAACGTAGAATACTCTGTAGCTCTACAAATAATGTCATTTGTCTGTCTGGATGGCTGGGAGTCTTGGTCAAAGGTGCCGGTATTCAATGAGTGCAGCTCCAGTATTGTTGAATGGCCTACACTTTAGACAGTTATAGCTCCACTTCCTTAGCACACTGTACATTTATGTTTCACAACTGGTATTTTCACAGCCGCATATGCCCCGGGAGCATGTGAAGCCGCATTGGACGGCTCCTAAGTGGCATGTTATTTGTGTTGGTGAAATCACTGAGGAAAGGACTGCGGCTGCACTACACAACAGCACATGCAGACGGTGAGTGTGGAAGTGCTGACGAGAATAGCTCTGCTTCGGCCAGAAATAGAAACCAAATGAACCAGGGAAAACCAGCATGTGGACTCCAGAACATTTTTGTAAACATTGCAAGGATGTTGTAATCATAGGATTATACATTTTACGGAACTTTCAGACAGACAAGCAAATATTCTGTTTTCAAAGCTTGGAACAGCTCATAATTTTCCCCCATCAAACACGTGACATCACATGACCACAAAACCCTGCTGTTTGTTCCAATGTAATTTAAAAATTTTTTTATTGAGTTTTCCCACAGATTTCAGAATCGTTCTTTCAGTGGAGTCCTGGCCCCAGATAGAGAGGAGCTACTGTACATTGAATTAAGTTAATTAATAAGACTTAAAACTGTTGTTCAGAAAAGGTTGCATATGATTTTTACACGAGACCACATCTAAAAGATGTAGATAGAGTACATCTGTGTTAGTTTCACATGAACCAACTAGACTGAGGAGCACAGGGACTGGCCTCCTGCGGTCAGGAGTCAGGACCACCCATGAGAAAGCAGCATATCAGATTTATGCAGCTTAAATGACTCGAACAGTCTTCCAGAAAATGTGAGACAAGCTTCTACTCTGACCCTGTTCAAATCCAGGATGAAAACAGTGCTGTTTAGCCGTGCATTCAACTGAAGATTGAGTTTTCCGTCTGTTTAATTATTTGTGATTGAACGGGTATGAATATAAAAAAACTCTCTAGCAAATATTTAAAATATTATTGAAAATGATGGAGAATTATATAACAACATTATTGCGAGATGAGATGTATGTTCAGTCCACGATGGCTTCTCAAGGAATTGGCCATTTGTGGCTGTGACCAACTGATGGAGAGGACGATAGCGCCCTCTGCAGGTGCTTTCACAGAACACTGTCCTGACACGTCACAGCCAGATCATGTTCTAAGGACAAAAGCCGCCGTGTGAACATATCGTGGTATACAACGAGGCTCTGATAAAGAATTCTGGCATGTGGAAAACTGAAAAGTAGAGCTGAATGGAATCGTATTATGAAAGGACTATAAATGGAGACAGCTTGTTTTCAGCCTAGAAAGCATCACTGTATATCCTTATTCTTTTAACATTAGAACCCAAAGATTCAGCACATTGTTTGTCATTTGTGTAAAAACAGGAAAGCCCAAAGGTCCAAAGGGAGTTTAGTGGAACCGGACTTCCTCAGCCGCAGTCAGACTCAAGTTTCCTTATGAAGTCATCACTGGGTTCATGGAAAAAAATCCAGAATAAGAAACTTTGCTCTGTGTCTGGTTCGTGTGTAATCCTGCTGCATGCTGAGGAGAAGTGGAGAGGAGAGGGGGGGGGGGTGTCTGGAATCTCTCTCATGAGATCTTTATGGCTTCGCACCCAAGACCATCCCTGACATTTTAGTGCCATATGAACCAGCAAGAACTCTGCGGAGCGCAGGGACTGTCCCAGATTTATGCAGCTAAAGTTTAAAACAATCTTTCTGAAGATGTGAAACATGCCTTTACTGAAAGATTGTACTTCGCTCTTTTTAGTGTACTGTGATTATTTAAGTTATTGCCTTGCATCTTGTTTTAAAAAGCATCTTGAGTTGCCGTGTGTATGAACTTTGCTATAAAAATACATTTGCCTCGCCATATTATATACACTCTAATTTTTGCTGCACCCATTACTACATATTCTTAGAGTTTCCCATGCCTGAAATCTGGTGCTGGTCCAGTCCCAATGCTATCCAGGTTCATTATTGGTTTGAGAGAATTTCTGCCACAAACACGTCACCCCCATCCCTTCTGTCTAAAGACACCGGAATCCATACTAATCATATTATCAATTAGTATTGCCTTCAAATTTGTTTGAATGATTACTTAAGTCTCAGGTGTAGCTGCCTTGAACAAATGATATGACTTAAAAAGATGATTGAACAAGTTACAGCCCAAGTCATAGGAAAGTTCTGTGCAGATCAAGAACGGGTAAAAAAAACCATCGTGTTTACCCGTGTTGTTTACACCAGCAGGACGCCATGGGAATACCATGGGGTTGCGTTTATGGTTGTTCCAACCCCAAATACAGAACAGGGGACTAATGATCTAGCAAACAAAAGTTGCATGCACAGCAATCTTAAAACTGTACGGCTCTATTTTTTTCTACTTGGAAAATTATTTCACATTTTAGAATACAAAATTCTAGTTTAGTTTGATTCCTTCTGCCATTTTCAATGTAGAGAATCGTTCATAGCTTCTGTTGCTAGCTTAAATGTTAACAGCTGGTACAGCTCTACTCAAAGTGAATATTCAGGACCATGTTTAAGGGACATTGGAAAAAAATAATTCCGATTATCTGTTCTTGAAGTATCATCCGAATTTAGTTTGATTTCAAAGCTAATTTTAGGAGTGACATCTTCAGTTCTTGTTCCGTGCATATATCCACCGGGGAACGTCATCTTAAGTCATGTGCAAAGCACCTTACACATTCATACACACAAAAAGCAGCATGGGTCAATTTATGGTGCTTTAGGTAGAGTTATGCTGGTTTTCCCCACTCCACCTTTCAGTCTGTAAGCACCGATATAAATTTGTGAGTGAGGACGACCAATCAAAGAGGTATTTTTTTTGTGACTTGAGAAATTACTTCTTGAAGTTTGAAAATCTTGTACAGTGCTCTCCCCTTTTTCACAAAGGTTATGTTCTAAAAATAATCCGCACTAATTAAATGCTTGAAGTAGCAGCTATAGGAGCAGGACTGAGGGCTACAGGAAGACCACCATAGTCCTCTGAACTAATCACCACAGTGCACAAAAAACAAACGTTTTCTTCTGACTTGAAATAAAACAGTATCTGACATGATATACTAGCGGTTAAATCATGTTTTTGGAGTATACACACGGCACATGAGAAGCACACTCTAAAAAAGCACACTGTAAAAAAGAACACAAAAATCTGTGAACAAAAATGTGAACCGAATTATAGTGAGAGACCACTGTACCCCAGCATCACGTTTCTCTGCCCAGGATTAAAATGGTTATGTGAGCGGAGCAGGATGCAGGTCTTACCCGGGGTGGTGGGTGCTCTGGGGGGGCTGTATGAGGGGGGTGGGGGTCAGAACGTGCTGATGGTGATGATGAGGAAGATGTAGGGTGATGCGGGCCAAAGCCAGCCTCCTGATTGGTGAATGAGTGCGAGCGAGAGAGGACCGGGGGCGTGGCCTTAGCCAGGTGAGCGAGGACCTTCAAACAAAAATAAGGGGGTGGAGTCAGTCGGCATGCAGGTAATCAGGCAACAGAGCGGCATGCGGGCAGAGGTGAACATGCAAACACATGGGGGCAGTGGGACCCAAAATGAAAATGCCGTATTTATACAGTGCTTTGCAAAAGTACTCATACAGCTTGACCTAGTGCACTTTTTCTCATGATACTGCCACAAACATAAATATTTGATTTCCAATTTTTACTGAAAGACCACAGCGCTCTTGCAATTGTGACGTGAAAGCAAAAATTATACATGATTTTGTTAATTAAACTAAAAACTTTAAAGAATTTTGAACAATAATGTCCTGTACCATAACAACAACTCTATCACTAATGAATGTCCCTGTTGAAGAAAAGCAGCCCCACAGCATGATGCTGCCACCCCTGTATTTGATACTAGGGATGGTAAACTTACGTAGATGTGCTGTGTAAGTTTTGAGCCATACATAACATTTTGGATACGCACAAAAGAGTTAAATTCTGGATTTGTCTGACCACAGCATCTTCCACATGTTGGATGTATTGCCTGCTTTGGTTCTTGTGGCTTTGTTTCAACTTTCTATTCACCACTCGTCCATAGGGGTCAGAGTTGTGAGAAGTAGGACTAATATTTGCCCCTTGTAGAGATCCCCCCAGGTGACGTGTGGATATCTGCAGCTCCTCCAGAGTGACAATTTGCCTCATGTCTGCGTCTGTGATCAGTGTTGTCATGGCTGGAGCTGTATTTTTGGGCAGACAGTCTTGGCAGATTTGCAGATGTGTTCCAGTTTCACTTCACAGGAGTCTGTTACCTGTGTGTGGACTTTCAGTAAAATACAATACAAATAGAATCATCATGTTTACAATATTGAACATTAAAAGGTGCATTAGTACATTTGAAAAGCAATGTATAAATGTGTAAATATATGTACGCTTCAGATTGTGATTAAATTGTGGAAATAATGAGAGACCAGACAAACTGCAAACACATACATCCAGCAGTTCAAACACAATGATCAGTCTTTTAATACCTAAACTCCTGATCATCATTATGATACCAGCTGAAAAACTACAGGATGCACGGAGTATCAAACTAGAAAAAGGAAACATCTGAGGGATTTGTTTTTATATCTTGCGTTGAAATACTCACGTCTCATAGGCCGACTATAACTACCTGAAAGGACCGTGTGGCTGCAGATTTTCATTTGAACCAAGCAGGAGCACACCAGACTCCCCCATTTTCTCAAGTGAGTGAGAAAATGGTTGGACTGCTGCATGGTTGGAACTAAAACCTGCAGCCACAGCTCTAAACTAACCACAGCACACACCAACACTACCAATACTTTAGTTTTCTTTTCTTATAGTGCTTTCAGAGTACTGAGGTCCAAGACAAGGTTGTGCTCCATTGCCAACACTTTTCACAATTTGTCAAAATCCACCTTCAAAACGTACAGAGTGAAAGCACAAAAGAGCAGACAGCATCGCACTGCATCACTCCCACACTCAAATGTAATAATTACACATTTTCGGAAGGTTCCTCTGAGTGTTTGCGAGGGGGGAGCAGCCACCTGTCAATGAAATGGTTGTGGGAACAAATCAAACAAATATTACACAGAAGAAAACTGGACAGCTACGCCGCCTCGTCTTCCTTTGTCACAAAAGGCAACATTTGAAATGAAGTTGGGTTCAAGGGTTGAGAATCCCGAGTGTGAGAGAGGCATAAAACAGGGTTAAACAGAATGGAAAGTTACTATGAAGCAATATTAAGGTAGTGTGCCTTACTATGGGATCTACAGTATGTTCAGATTAACCCAGGACCATCCTGTTGTCTGTTTGCCTCTATTCTCTGAAACGTGTTGAAGCAGCACTCACACTTTATCGATTCTCAACCCTTCATAACCGTCACAATGACTGATGCTCGGAGAGGCGTGGTCGACCTAAAAAGTCAAGTCACACAGCAAGAAATAACATTGTGCATTCAGATCAACTTAATCCAGTTTTCATCAGGTAAATAATGTAATGCCTCCTTCCACAGGAGTGTTTTGTGGAAGAGGTTTCAAAAGTCGTCATCTGGAAAGCCACTTATCACTGTGGTTTGAGATGTGGTGAAGTACTGAGACCTCTGTCAGACTCTAAAACTGCACAGCTGTGATAGTGGTGTCAATATTGCAATATGTAATGTTATCGCAGTCCTTTTCTTTTAACAGAAGAAATGATATCAGCATGAACAAATTCACTATTTTTTATAAAATTCATAAATTGTCTTTTCCTTGAAAGTTAAACGCTTAATTTCATACTGAATGTATGAGGTAATTTTATTGTAGCAAAATACAACTAAATATTTTGGTTGTTTAGTGCTTTTCATCGTGGATCTTCAGGAAAGACAACAGATGCAAACACAGCGAGGAAAAAACAAAGTCCCACGTTTCAGAACCGTGATGTTTTAGGTAGGGATGCACCGATACCACTTTTTTCAAAACTGATACGAATACCTTAATTTAAGTACTTGTTGATACCGAATACTGAGTACTGTGATTGTTAGTAAAAACAAACGTAGGTGAAAGAAACACATGATTTACATGTATTAATAACTCAAAATTATCAAACATAAATTTGATATGGATTTCTCACTTCTCACTTGACATTATTGTCCTGTCAATATTTTCGATATATTTTGCAGCCCGAAATCTTACTATTATGACCTCTTTTGGTAGAACTTCTGGAGCTTAGAAAAGCTGCCAGACTGAAGAGGACGTAAACAAGGGCAGGGAAAAATACCAGGCTTAACTCAAAAGACTGATATAAAAGGAGAATATTTCCGAGCCGATATTGAAAGTTAAAAAACAACGATTGGATGGCCATCTAAATCAACAATGCTTTCCAGGTAACTCTTCAAAAAGTCTTTCACAATAGAATCCAATAATTTTCCAGCCGTAATAGCGTAGAGATTGCGTGATGGTGAGCATACCTGTGGCTCGCCGGGCCGGTGCTGGGCCTGGCTGTCGGACGAAGCGTTGCCGTTGGCATGGGTGGACTCTGAGCGTGTGGGGGGCACTGGGGGCTGAGACGGTTTGGTCTGTACCGACTGTGGAGAACCCTGGACGTTCTTCCGGTACCGCTCGTCGGCCTATGCACACACAGAGAAAAATAGGTTTAAGGTTAAAAAATATAATAATAAAAACAAGAGCAACAGCTCTCTTCCTCTGAGGCCAGGACTCCCCTGAAAAAAAAAGATCCTGGAGGTGCTTTTACAGGAGAAAGGCCTTCACTAGTATTGGCATTGGCATTTGTGATTCATACACTGCGTTTCCATGTGAATGCAAGTTGGCTTTTGTGGGAATTGCCTTTTCGTGGAAGGAGGGGGAACCTGTTTGCTTTGGTTTACATGAGGGGTGCATGCATCAACAAACCCCCTGACAGCAGGGGACAGTTGAGTAAGCGCTTAACCTCTCCTTTATATATTTATTTATATCCTTAATTTGTATTATCATCAATACAAGTCTGCCTGTTGGCACATGTGTATTTAAGCCTCTGCTTTCATAATCAAAAATGAAAAAGGTCAAGTGGAATTGTAATCTGGGAACCCACCCCAAGTAAACGCAGAATTTGACAACATGTGAACACAGTGAATGACATATTGTACTCATGCAGAGTAAACCAGGAATTATAATTAAATTATACATTGATGAAAATTGTCATATTCAGAAGCTTTTGAAGATTCAAACTAGGAACAAAGATACAATTATACTTCCAACTGGTCCAAAATGACAATCTCTCCATAATGTGGTTGGGGATGTATGACATGCCAATATTAATGTAGACTTTTTCCTGCAATGCTGTATTTCCCAAACAATGGTACAGGGACAACTGGGATACTACAGCAAGGTTTTCATAAGACTATGGTGGCATTATTTTTGTTTGAAAATGTTATTCAGAATGGTTTTTGATGTGCAGTGGTCCCTGTACCTACAATAGGCAAAATCCTTCTAGCCTTGGCTGTAGAACTTCTCATCACAAATGTTATTTTTTATTTTTCTGTAGTTTTCTAACCACCTGCACTCGCAGGGATTAAAAAACCTGCTGGATGTAGCTCTGATAGTGAGGGACCACTTTATTAACTCTAAATTACACTAAATAGTCTCTCAAAATTAAAAATGTGAAAAACATACATTTAAGACAGAATATTAAACGTAATTTGATATTTTTCCAACATTTTTGAGACTTTGTATTAGGTGTCACCATAGCCTCCTTCATTAATGTACACAATATTAAATGTGTTAATTAATATTTGACCATCAGTGACCCATCTAGAGCACAACAGTAAAATGACAGTAGAACACCACAACAGAGAGGTTAAATGTTAAATGCAGAAAAATCCCAAACAAAACAGAGAAAGCGTAATACGTTGTAGTCATAGCAGCACCAGCATGCACAGAACCCAAAACCCAGCTTTTCCACACAAGCAGCAGGGTCAGTAAGCTTAGCCAGAGCGAGCGGTCACCTCCAGGACAGGGTCAGCATTCCAGGTCCCATTAGGAAGATGCTCCAATGAAGGATTGTGGATGTGGACCTCGGATTTGTCTGCACTTGTTGACTTGACATTAAGATCTTCATGGCTTTGGTCCTTGGTCTGCATCGTTCTCTCTTCGAAGCCAGCTTCAATACTTCGGCCTTTGGTCAGAACTTTGGGGTTATCTTGGAGCACCTGTGGACTCTGGTCTCTTCTCTTTATGTTGGAATTGATAGGTTGGGCATCCAGACTCTGGTCTCCTCTCTGGACCATGGACTGGTTGCGGAGAACATCAGGACTTTGGTCTTTTTTGAACAAGCTGTGGTTCTTCTTGAGGCTGTGGTTGGTTTGGATGCTGAGGTGGTCTTGAAGTGTTTGATTGGTTGGAACACTGTTGTGGTCTTGGAGCTGGTGGCTGGTCTGCAGGGCCAGCAGATGTGTCTGCTCTCTCTGGAGCTGCTTGTGGAGCTCCTGGGCCTGCCTCTGCTCCTCCAGCTCTTTCCACTTGTGCTCCTGAGGAACATACTTGAACCATAATGCGTTTGCTTCATGGCATGACACAATATCAAACTAGAAAATCAGGAGACACAGTTCAATTCCTTAAAAAAAAAAAAATCCTGGATCGAGACGACTGTATGCATCAAAATACAGTACATTTTTACTTTCCAGTAAAACAATAACAAACAGTGACAACATTACTCCCTGGCAAAGGTATCTATGTAGTTTTGATTATTGTGTGAAAAGACGGCACAATACAATAACTATTCTCTATCCATCCATTTTCTTTTACTTTATCCGTTATCCGAGCCGAAAGGGCAGCAGTCTGAGCTGAGATGACCAGACTTCCCTCTCCACACACACTGCCTCCAGCTCATCCACGGGAATCACAAAGCATTCCCGGGCCAGCTGAGAGACACAGTCCCTCCCTGGGTCTTCCCCTGGTCAGATCAGCCGTCTCAACTCTCTCCTCTCGACAACAAAGAGCTACTCCGAAATCCTCTTGGGTGACTGCACCCTAAGGGAGCCACTCTGCTGAGAAAAACCATGTGCGAAGCCAATCCCGTCGGAACAAAAGCCCATAAACAAAAACCCAGCTAGGTTATAACACTATGGGTGACGTCAGCACTCAGTCAGTCCACTTATAATATACGCTTTATGGTTTTACCAAAGCTGATACGCTCTATGGTATAACCAAAGCTGATACGCTCTATGGTATAACCAAAGCTGATACGCTCTATGGTTTTGCCACAGCTGGGCTTCCTGGAGACTAAAGCCTGACTTACATGTTGTTGAGTTTACAGCTGTGTTAACTGCTCCTCTGGGCATATAAAATTATGAACCTGCAGCAACAAGTGACTCACTCAGAGACTGGGAGTGGAGAGGTGTGAAATGAAGAGGCTCTGGGGGAACATTTCAAAAACGAAATAGGAGCAATCGCATACAGAGGGCTGTATTCAATTTCATTCATCAACATGCATCAGGCTAAATCAGATCGAAGAGTTTCAAAGAGCTGGATGTAAGGACGGTGTGCGCTCACCAGTAACATGGCCTGTTCATGCAGCAGCTGCTGTTGGAGAATCTCCAGGTGCCGCTGCTCCTCCTCCAGCTGCCTCCGGATGTACTCCTGTCAAACACACTCTCATTTTACACTCCTTACAGGTAAAACACACAGCCTTCCAAAGCACATATGTGACATATGAGTGATATATGAGCCAACTCGGACTCTGAGGAGCCTTGGGACTGGCCTCACAGTCAGGACTAAACATAGGAAGTCAGCATTATAAAGCTAAAATTGTGAACAGTCTTCTCAAAAATATAAGAGACTTCTACTCAGACAAATACAGTGTATTAATGGTGCTCGATGCTCGACAGGGCCTGGTTAGTATTGCGCTGGGAGACCTCTGGGAACACTGTTGCTGTAAAGTGCCAAACTGCTGTGTCCTTAGGCACGATACATTGCCTAGAATGAGTCTGGTGTGTGTGACTGGATGGTGGTGGTCAGAGGGCTCGCTTCTGTCTGTGTGCCCGAGGGTAGCTTTGGCCACAGAATTAGTTTATCATCACCGTGTATGGAGTGAATGAATAGATGACATGTTAAGCGTTTGTGAGTGTCCAAAAAGCGCTGTAAAATACAGATGCATTATTACTGCTTGTGTGTGTGCATCTGTGTTTATGTGTTTTACCTGCTCGCGGTCTGCCCTCCTCTTCTCCTCCTCCACTCTCCTCCTCTCCTCATCCTCTTTGCGTCGCCGCTCGAGGTCTTCCATGCGGCGCTTCTCGTCCTGCTCTCGGCGCCTCTGCTCGCGCTCCTGCTGCCTCCGTAGCTCGCGCTCGCGCCGCTGTTGCTGTAAAGAGCAAGAGCAAAAGAGCCCATTGTGTTTACAGAAATGTTCTATACTGCTCCTTCAACAGGATTTTAAACAGGCTAACCAACAGTCCTTGAACCTGTAGATGTAAGCAAATGTCCTGGATCATCACCTTCCTTAGACCCCCCAGAATCAACAAGGAATTACTTTTTGAAAAAAGCATTGGGAGTGGAGCTTCACCCCCTCATGAACCCTGAAGCTTATGTTCTTTTTTTCCTGCTTAAAACAAAGTAAATACAATTATTTGCTAAATTTCACGACATGTTAATGACTGTGTTGTTGACATTGCATGTAACAGATAATCCATCTCTCTGAGAGCCTCCTCACCAGTTTTGTGTCCCTACACTACTTACAGCTACACACGGCCATGGCCCCAGACGGCTGACAGAGGAGACAGGAGACGGGGGAGGAGGCTTATAAACATGTCAGAGCTGTCTGTGAGCAGCTGTCCTCTGTACACTCCAGATCCATTCAGGCCCTGAGGTGGTGAGCTGTGAGCCCACCTAACCTGGCCTCTCAGTGCTCTGCGTTGTAAAGTGATCAATGAAGAAAGACATTACTAAGGAGCGACCGATTTATTGGTATTGGTCCATTTTGACGGAAGGACTTTGGAAAAAGTAACTGCCCCAGACTCAGTCAACAACTCATTTTGTTTAGGATCTAGAATGGACTTGTGATACAATCCGTGCATCTATTGTTGATTACTGTAAAATATCTGAAAGAATCTGAAAAAGATTATTCTAATATTAAGGAGCACGCTGCATGCCTTGGTGTGATATGTGTATATGACTATTAATCAAACCGAATTTCTCCTTTGTGAGATCAATAAAGTATATCTTCTTCTTCTTCATCTTAATGCCAACAGTGACAGAGGCTGAAATATTCGACAAGGCAAGTTTCTTTGCATAGCACAATTCTTAAACAACAATTCATTCAAGTGAGCATTAAAAAGAGTGAAGATACAATTTATTAGGGTCTTATTCTTACACAATGACCCCATTTCTGATGTATACTGAAGTAAACCTTTTTAGTCATATCAATGAAGTATTTCAAAAATCTGACTGTCAACATTGGGAAAAGGTTGTATTCTGCGCCTGGACGAGAGGAGCCGATATCGGATCCCCCTCTGTCTGTTCTCCAGCAGTGCCTACAGGGTAACTTTCTCCCACGCACATTTCAGGCTAATGAGCCACAACTTATCACTGTTCCATCACAGATTAGCCATGTTTAGAAATCCATTAGCACAATTATCTGGCATATGAATCTGCACTTTTAATCCAGCTCTCTGAATCTCATTACACGGACAGCTGCACACGCTTACTGTAAGTCATCTACAGTCGATATAAGCAGTGGACACGAGAAGACATCAGGAAGGTTAGAGAAGTGTCATCTCTGTCTGCACCGATCCATGAGAACATCAGGTGGTGTCACAGCGAGTGCTTTTGCCAGAGAATCCTTCTACTCCTCTTACGACGCATGTAAACTTGTGTGTGCAACGATTAAGTATTGAAAAAGCATTCCAATTGGAAGCGCTGGTGCGCGCCTCTACTACGGTTGAGCTGCATCTATTTACTTAAACAGATCCTCATGAGACAAGAGCAGTGATGCGTTTAAGAGCACATAGAAAAAACAAACTTGCATTGTAACTGTATGTGTTTGGACGGATATAGGCGACTCACTCATGTTGTTCTGGATCATGATAGAGTCCCTCGCTGAACGTGTTTTCTTGTTTTGTTTTGTTAAAGTGATAGTCTGGAACTCTAAATGAATTACACATTTTAAGAATTGTATTAATTTGACCTCCTGGCCTTAAATGTTGATATAAAATAAGTCATTTTATTAATTCTAATATTACAGGTAAGTCCCGCCTTCCCTTCTCTTAGCTATAGCTCAGAATCCACGATGCCGTCCACGTTAACCAATCAAGGGATGCCAAGGGCTGTCAATCATCGGCGCTGATGCTCGTAGCTGCGCGCATGCTCAGTTGTTTGTTTTCACGGAGCCTCCGAATCAAGCCTTTATAGGCTCTGGAACTTCATGAAAACTGAACAAAGAATTCTGAACATCCGCGCTGAGTTACTCATTTATATACTGAACCTATATCCATAATCAGATCCTCTGCAGATGTGTCCTACAATGTGCAATTGATATTAGCTACTTCTGGGTTTGCCGTGATTTTTTGTGCATTAAAACATTATTTTTTTTATGAAAAAGTTAATAATTATGAAAACCTCTGTGCATTGTGTTAATAATGTATATGTATAATATGTTCTCCCATCAACATTTAAATGTGTTACAGAAACATAGGTGTAGACCAATCAGAAAGGAAGGGGGAGGGAGCTTGCGTCGTTTTTTTCAAATCAAGTACCTCTCTTTCTCTTTCTGAAAATCACTTTAAGAGAAAATTGCTGCTGGAACTGAGTGATTTCTGCTGCAGCAGCTGAGGCTTCTCCTCGGAGCTCAGAGACTTTTATTGCCACTTTTTGTTGTACATGATTATATACTGCACAGCCAAAACATTTTACCTTTAACATGTTTGCACACTGTCTTTTGCACAATCTGAGTGATTCTATCTGAGTGACAATTCTCCAGTGAGAGATCAATAAAGTCTATCTTATCTTATCTTAATTTATCTTTCAGATGCCGTTTTCTTTTGATTTGGAAACGCACTCAGTAAAGGAAGAAGGACCTCTGCACATGGAGAGGACAAGGCACCGTTCTCTGGTCCAGAACCGTTGCCTTGGATTCAGAAGTGCTGATTTTCATCTCAGCTGCTTCACACTGGGTTCAAACCATTCCTGTGCACGTGAAGGTCCTGGGAGACATGTACTGGGAATAGGTCTGACCCCAACGCAAACACAGCTCTGAACATCATCAGCCCTTTGCTGATGATGGTCAGAGCTAAATCTCAATTTAGTTAAGATTATTAGGTTACAAAAATAAATAAATAAATAAAGGCGCTAGTTTTAGAGGTAAAAATGTTTGACTTGTTTTTATCTGCCTTTGTAATTCCCCAGATGTTATCAGACAGAAAGCCTATCGCTGCGCTCTATGTCTATATGTGTCTGGTGTGTATGCTGTATATAGTATACGAGTGTACCTCCTCGAGCCGCCTCCTCTGCTCCTTCTGCTGCTCGATCCTCTTCTGCCTCTCGGCCAGCAGCTGTCTCTTGTACTCCTCTTGCTCGCGGAGCTGTTGTTCCTGCAGGAGTTGCTGTCTCCTGAGGGCCTCTGAGCGCTCCTTGTTCTCCTGCTGCAGACGGATGAAGTCCCGTCGCAAAGTGGACTCTCCGGGAACGTTCACGATGGAGCTGTGGCAAAGAGGACAGACATTCAGATAAACACATGCGGTTTATTGTTTTGTTTAGTGAAGTGACCACTCTCTCTTGTGACGACCTCTATAATTACCCGGGGATTCCTGGATTTTTTTGTTTGCATTTTGGCACTCAGACATGTACGAATTATGAAATCTAAAGACCTTTTGTATAATCTTACTTCTGTAATCTATAACTGCCAACAACTTCTTTTCCCCACTGTATAATGCTTGTCTATGTACAGTGTATTGCATAGAAACAAAGAGACAACCTCTACTTCTAAGCTCCAATTGGAACATTTGCTAATGTGTCCTTTGCATATGACCCATCCCATAATGCCACTAGGCCCATCTCTTGAAGATGATGCCTCACTGTGGGAACCAGTTTTAGCTGTAGGACTTTAACTATTGAATATCTAGTGGTTCTTCTTGCTGAGAAGTGAGAGTGCTAACCATTCTGCCAACATGCCGTCCATGTTCTGTGAGTCTTGTTCGGATGAGGACATCCCCCTTTTCCCTTGAGACATTCATCCATTCACCTTCTCCTCCAAATGTTTACCTGGGCTCTCCTTCCTGCTCAGACGACTCCTCTTCTTCCTCTTCACTGCCGCTGTACTCATACTCAGTCTCATCTTGGGAAAGATTTAAAAAAAAAAAAACATCAAGCTGCAAACTAGGAATTAAAAAATTCTTTTGTTATGCAACTTTCTTAGAAGGTTCCTGTTACCAGTTGTGTCTCCCCGGGGCGGTCAAACCTTACCCACATCCCTCTGTATGTGAACTGGTTGTGAGGCTCTACTGGAGGCACTCTGTCTCTGGACCTTCTCTGGACACCATGTAGTTCTGTTGTCTCTGTATGCATCTTGTAATTATGTTTTTGTAACTTTTATTGCTGCTCCATTGAATTGTTCTGTGACTGTGTTTTGGTGACATCACAGCAAAAGAAAGGAGAGCACTAAACAAGATGCTCCACTCTGCAAAGAGGACTGTGAGCTGTCCGTTCTGGAGGTTCTTTATGAATCCAGACTCATAAACCAAGCTCCTAAAATTATAAATGACTGGAAAAGCCATGTTCCAGCTTCTTCCCTCTAGCATACTATATCATTTGTTGAGATGCAGATCTCGATGTGCTAACAGCTACTTTCCAGAAGTTATCAGTCTGAATAAAGCACTTCAATGATCTTGCACTTGCATTGAAACCGTTTTTGTTGATCGATCTTGCAGTGACAATTGCTTCTTGTACTTTAAGCTTATTTTATGTATGCGATTGTCTGGTGGTTCTATTTCATCCCTTCAGACCGCCAGAGGGCGGTGCATAGCACTGAATGTTCCCTTCGCGCATGCGCAGTTCGAGTAATAATACCAAATGAGTCACACCTGTGACCCCCTGGGTGACACACCGGAGGTAATAAAGTCCAGCGTCATCCAGCACTCTGTTCCTTTTTTCTTCTCGCGTGCGGTTCGAATCGTTGTTGCTTGAACTTCGTCAACGTCTGTCGCTGAGAGCCCTCTTCATCGGAGCTGCGGTTCGCCCTCCGTGGGGCGCGACGGTGACGTTGTCTTTCGGGTATTTATCGGTGTTTTCTGTACTATATGCGTGTGTATTGGTTGGTGTGAAGGCTGCTGTGGCGCCCGCTCCTCCGTCAGTACTTTCTTTTGGTACGTGCATTTCGTGGTGTGAGGGCTGCGGTTCGTTGGCCTGCTCCTCCGCCTGTGCATGTTTGAGTTAGCTTTGCTAACTGTGTATTGAGTGGTGTGAGGCTGCGGTTCGTTAGCCCGCTCCTCCATCGGTTCTTATTTGGGTTAGCCTTTTGCTACCTGTGTGGTGTGAGGTTGCGGTTCCGCTCCTCCATCCGTTCTTAGTTGGGTTAGTTTTTGCTACCCGTGTCCTCTGTGGTGTGAAGGCTGCTGTTCGCGCGCCCGCTCCTCCATCAGTTTCTTCTTTGGGTTAGTTTTTATTACCGGTGTCCTCTGTGGTGTGAGGCTGCGGTTCCGCTCCTCCATCCGTTCTTAGTTGGGTTAGTTTTTGCTACCCGTGTCCTCTGTGGTGTGAAGGCTGCTGTTCGTGCGCCCGCTCCTCCATCAGTTCTTCTTTGGGTTAGTTTTTTATTACCGGTGTCCTCTGTGGTGTGAAGGCTGCGGTTCGTTGTCCCGCTCCTCCATCAGTTCTTGTTTGGGTTAGCATTTGCTGCCTGTGTTTATTCTGTGGCCGGTGTATTGTGTGGTGTGAAGGCTGCTGTTGGCGCGCCCTCTCCTCCATCGCTACTTTATTTTGAGTTGGCGTTTTACTGCCGGTGTATTGTGTGGTGTGACGGCTGCTGTTCGCGCGCCCTCTCCTCCATCACTACTTTATTCGAGTGGCATTTTGCTGCGGGTGCATTGTGTGGTGTGAAGGCTGCTGTTCGCGCGTCCGCTCCTCCACCGTGCTATATTTGGCTTTTCTGTTGTGAAACTGCAGTACGTTGATTCAGTTTTGCAGTTTGTATACCGTTGGGGATTAATTACATATTTAATTAACGACACAGTCGAAAAAAGAATAATAATTTAATAATAATAATAAAAAAAATAATAATAATAAAACAAATACAACCTTGTTGTTATGGACGGGTCACATGCGTGTGTGGGCTGCGGGTCAGCACTCGATGTTGATGACGGCCATGACCTGTGTCCGGCGTGCCTCGGCCCCACTCACTTGAGGGAGGCAGTGTCCGATAACCCGTGCATGAACTGCAGCTGCTTGCCCTGGGCTGTTAGGGTGGCGAGGCTGGTTCAGCTGCCTTCGTCTGGCGACGGTGGTAGTTTGCCAGTGGGACCTGCTGTGGCTCCGCCCCCTCGGCGTTCTAAGCGCCGTGCTGAGGCCTGTGCTTCAGGGGAGCGGTCTGATGGCCATGGTCCTTCCAAGCAGGCCAAGCCGGATGCTGTCCTGGTGTCGAGGGTGGAGCAGTTATCTGCAGAGTTGGAGGCGATGAAATCTGCATTCCAGGCACGTTGTGCTGCTGATGCAGTCTCTGGGGCTGGTTCTTGCTCCATGCCATCCCTCCATCCGGAGGAGGATGTGCTTTCTCTGGCGGCATCTGCTTCGTGCTTCCGGGACGAGGATGACGCGCGGTCCCTTTCGGGGGACGATGCTTATTCTTCCGCACATAGTGTGTCCAGCCGGTCTGGTGACGGCTCAATGCAGGAGGTTCTTCGCAGGGCCTTATCCCGTCTGCAGGTGGAACTTCCCCAGTCGGGACAGGCTGACCCTGGCAGTGTTTTTTTCAGGCGTGGTGGTTCGTCTCCTGCTTTTGTTGTGCCCCCGTCCGCGGAGTATCTGAAGGAGCTACACGCGTGCTGGAGGGACCCCAGCCGTCTCTCTAAGCTTTCGGCTGAGGGTCGGGCTTTGGCCGCGATGCACGATGCCTCTTCGGCTGGCCTGGATTGCATGCCGGCTGTTGAGCCGGCGGTTGCCTCCCTCATTGTTTCCCCGGAGGAGTCCTTGCGGGAGAATGTGAGGTGCCCTCGGAGCCAGTGTCGTGCGACGGATCACTTGCTAACAAAGGCCTACAATTCTGGTGCTCGAGCTGGCCGTATTGGTAACTCCTTAGCGCATCTGCTGCTTGCCCTGTCTGCCTCCCTCCAAGAGGGTAGTGCTGTGGGCACTGATGTTACTGCGTTTAGCGACGCAGCTCTGCACGCTTTTGCCTTGATGACCAGGGAACTCGGACGGGTCATGTCGGTCCTTGTACAGGCTCGTTGGCAGGTATGGCTGGCTCAGTCTCCCCTGACTGAGGCCTGTCGTAGGACCCTCCGTGACGTGCCTGTCGAGCCGGGTCAGATGTTTGGGACGGCGGCCCAGGAAGCATTGGACCGGACTGTCCATGCTGGTCAGACTAGACAGCAACTTTCTAGCCTTAGCAGGGTGGTGCGCCCTCCCCGGCAGTTTTTGCGCCCGATGGTGGCCCCCGGTGTTCGGCAGCCTCCTCGGGATTGGACTGGTGCTCAGCGTTTTCCCCAGGTCAGGCCTGCCGGGAATTTTCGTGCCCCACCCGTACATAGGCGCCCGACCCGCCAGCCAAGTGGCGCCGCGGCTGGTCCTGGGCGGGGTCCCCCCAGAGCCCCTAGGGGGCGGGGGGCACGGAATTGACGCCTCAGGGCCGAGCGTCGGACATTTTTCCCATCAGCAGCTCGAGTGTTGGGCTGCTCGAGCTCGGGATCCGTGGGTGGTTGCCACATTGACCCACGGATACCGTCTGCAATTCCGACGCCGGCCGCACTTGTCGGGCCGGGTCAAGGTTACTTTGTTCTCGGACCCGGCAAAAGCCTTTATCTTGGATCAGGAGCTCTCCGCCCTCCTGACCAAGGGTGCCATCGAGGCGGTAGATCCGCTGCTGCAACCCAGGGGTTATTACTCCCGTTATTTTCTCGTGCCCAAGAAGACGGGGGGTTTTCGACCAATTCTGGATCTGAGGGGCTTGAATCATTTCCTGAAGGTCATTCCATTTCGCATGCTGACGACTGCGGAAGTCCTTCAGACTGTTGGGGCCGGGGAATGGTTCACGTCCGTAGATTTGAGGGACGTGTATTTTCACGTGCCCATTGCGCAGCCCCACCGGCGGTTCCTCCGGTTCGCCTATCGGGGCGTTCACTGGCAGTTCAGGGTTCTTCCCTTTGGCCTCTCTCTCTCTCCGAGGGTTTTCACCCGATGCGTGAAGGCGGCTCTTGCTCCGCTACAGGCCAGTGGCATGAAGGTGTTGCCTTATCTGGACGATTGGTTGATCTGCGCCCCGTCCAGGGCACGGTCCTTGGAAGATACGGAGCGCCTTCTGACTCATGTCGCCCGCTTGGGGTTCAGGGTCAATTTCGAAAAGAGCAGCCTGGTACCTTCGCAGGCCGCTGTTTTTCTTGGCCTGAGTCTGAACACGGTGACTATGACGGCGCGTCCGTCGGGGCGCCGCCTGGTCGACATCCACGGTGTGGTGTCCCGTTTCGGTCTTGGCACTCTGCACAGTTACGTCAGCTTTCTACAGCTGGTGGGGAAGCTGGCCTCGATCTCTCGTGTGGTTCCTCTCGGGCTGCTTTCGCTTCGCCCGTTGCAGAGGTGGCTGAACGGGTTTCGTTTGGATGCCGTTCGTCACCGCCACAGACGGTTACAGGTGACGTGGGCATGTTTTCGTGCTTTCGCTCCATGGAGGGACCGCGGTCTCCTGTCACGTGGGGTCCCCTTGGGGGTGGTAGTGTGCCGCAGGGAAGTGGTCACCACCGACGCCAGCCGTACGGGATGGGGTGCTGTGTGGCAGCGCAGGTTGGCCCGAGGGGTTTGGTCTCGGGCGGAGCGCTCAGACCACATAAATGTACTGGAGCTTCGGGCCGTCCACCTTGCTCTCCAGGAGTTTTTGCCTCACCTGCTGGGGAAACATGTCCTCATTCGTTCGGACAACACCTCGGTCGTGTATCACATCAACCATCAAGGGGGTGTCCGATCGGCTCGGCTCCTCGAGGTGTCTCAGGCTCTGCTGGTTTGGGCTGCGCCTCGCCTGGCTACACTGCGTGCAGCGTATCTGCCAGGGGACTGCAATCGCGTGGCGGACTCCCTGTCTCGCGGGAGGCCTGCCCCGGGGGAATGGTGTCTCCACCCCGGTGTGGTCCAGAGGGTGTGGGGCCTCTTTGGTCGGGCACAGGTGGACCTGTTCGCTTCGGTGGCCTCCACTCATTGCCCTCAGTTTTTTTCCCTGGACGGGGCTCCGGGCTCTCTCGGCCAGGATGCCCTGGCGCACAGTTGGCCTCAGGCCCTCCTGTACGCCTTCCCCCCTTTTCCTCTGATCTGGCCAACCCTCCAGAGGGTCCTTCGGGCGGGGCACAGTTTATTACTGGTGGCTCCGTTTTGGCCTGCACGGCCCTGGTTTCCACTGCTACTCAGACTTTGTTGGGCTCCCCCCTGGCCTCTCCCTCCCAGGCGGGATCTGCTCTCACAGCTGGACGGTCAGGTGTGGCATCCCTGTCCTCACCGCCTCAAGTTGTGGGTATGGCCGTTGGCTGGCCCGAGCTGCGGGCACTCGATGTCACTGGCCCTGTCAGGCGTACACTCCTGAATGCCAGGGCGGCCTCTACTCGGCGGCTGTATGAGAACAGGTGGAAGTTGTTCTCCCGCTGGTGTTCTTCCCGCGGTCGGGATCCCGTGTCGTGCCCGGTGGCGGTTGTCCTGGAATTCCTTCAGTCTCTCCTGGATGAAGGTCGGGCCCCATCTACTCTGAAGGTATATGTTGCTGCTATTTCATGTTATCATGGCCTGGTTGATAACTGTACTGTGGGGGGCCATAACCTGGTGTCTCTCTTTTTACGCGGAGCTCGTAGGCTGCACCCTCGCGTGCCCGCGCGGTCTCCGGTTTGGGACCTGGCCTTGGTGTTGGAGTCTCTCTGCCGCCCTCCGTATGAGCCATTGGCCCGAACGGACCTCAAGTGGCTCTCCTATAAGACTGCTTTCCTGTTGGCTGTGGTCTCTGCAAAAAGGGTCGGTGAGTTGCATGCACTTTCTGTCAGTCCCTCATGCCTACACTGGGATCCTGAGAGGGCTGGCGTGGTCTTGTGGCCTAATCCCACTTTCCTCCCTAAGGTGCTTTCCCGTGACTATTGTAACCGGCCTTTGAGGTTGGCGCGGTTTGTGTCCCCCCTGGATGGGGGTGAGGACAGACTGCACCTGCTGTGTCCTGTGAGGGCATTGGAGGCCTACGTTGCTGCGACGGCAGGTGTGAGGCGCTCAGACCAGCTCTTTGTTGCTTATGGTGGTGCTAGACTGGGAAGTCCGCTTTCGAAGCAACGCCTTTCCCACTGGGTGGTTGACGTTATCAGTCAGGCGTATATTTCGGCCGGCCGCGACCCGCCAGCCACGGTGAGGGCCCATTCTACCAGGGGTGTCTCTACCTCCTGGGCCGCTATGCGCGGGGTGCCGTTGGGAACTATTTGTGCTGCTGCGTCTTGGGCTACACCAAGCACGTTCACCAGATTCTATAACATCAATGTGGCCACTCCGGCTCCTCTTGGCGTGGTCCTTCAGGAATCCTCTGGCTCTCCTCCGTGAGGTGTGTGGTCAAGTTCCTTCGTGACATAGCTGGTATAAGGTCATTCAGTGCTATGCACCGCCCTCTGGCGGTCTGAAGGGATGAAATAGAACGAGGGTTACGTATGTAACCACGGTTCTATGAATCCCGGATGACCGCCAGAGGCGCTCTGTCACTCAGGGTCCTTGCATCCGCGAGAAGATTCTGCAGGAACAGAGTGCTGGATGACGCTGGACTTTATTACCTCCGGTGTGTCACCCAGGGGGTCACAGGTGTGACTCATTTGGTATTATTACTCGAACTGCGCATGCGCGAAGGGAACATTCAGTGCTATGCACCGCCCTCTGGCGGTCATCCGGGATTCATAGAACCGTGGTTACATACGTAACCCTCGTTTCACTGAAAATGAATCTGAAATGTTCTCTTTTATACCCATTTGGTCTATGTCTAATATATTAACTTGGAGAGTACTAGTTTTTCAATATAACAAAAGCAATCAATCGAGTAAAATGAAACACTTGGCTGATAAAACATGTCTTCTCCATTAGCAATGCCAGTGGCATTGTGGAGCATACCCTTCTCGCCCCTCTTCTTCTTGGTGCGGTCGATGTGGTCCTTGAGCTGGATGCGGACCTGCCTCTCGTTGGGCTGGTCCCGGATGAAGGGGTGCTTGAGGAGCTGGTCTGTGGGCGGCCGCTGGGTGTAGTTCTTCACTAGGCAGCCCTCAATGAAGCTGAAGAACTTTTTAGACCTGCAGCCAAACAAGCATAAGATTAACAGCAGCACGTTGTGACAGTTCAGAAACACACCTGGGGTTGTTTTGGGTGTTAGTTGAAACATTGTAAAGAGCTTTGTGTGACGCTGGTCTATGATGTGCACTACAAAACTACTGATACCAGTGGGGGGACCCTACATGATTACATACATATACATACATATATATCATAATATATATATTTTTTCTTAATATTATAATTTGTTTTCTATGTTTATTTTTTCACAAACTACGTTGGTTGCGCAGCTTCCAACTTCAGGTCGACATTTGGGAGGTCTGGCGTCTAACAGAGTTTTTATCCAATCATTGCTCCGCGTCATGTGTTGCTATGGCCAAAAATCTGCCTCTAGGCCTTCAGACTCTACATTGCTTAAAGTCAATGAAACCAAACCTGTGGCATTAACCAATCAGTGTGAAGTGTTTTTCCTGAGGGCCAGCTAGCTGGCCCTGTGCGGCGTCAGAGCATGCGCCTCTTCCGATTGGATACACGATATAGAGACGTGACAATGCTGACCGCATGGATCTACGTTCATGTGAAAAACAGAAACAAAAACAAATGCTAATATGTAAAGCACGAGTTTTAGTTATTCAATCCTCTACGGATGAAGGAGGTGAATATATCGTTCTGGTAGATACAGTAGAACGCCTTTTTCAAGAAAAACAGAGACAGACCAGGAGAGCCAGGATTTTGCCCCGACCAGAGCAAACACGGCTGCAGCAGAGCTGAGGCTAAAAGCCGATGGAACAGTTTGTGAATAAGCCAACCTGCAGAGCTAGGCTAATGCAGAAGACACGGAGCCGCGTCCTGCCATGGATCTTTTATAATAACGGTCCTGCCTCACCACCGGTAAGAAACTAGAACATTAAAACTCACACGCAATACTTATATTGTAGTAGGACTTTCCAACATTAATGCTCAAAACTGGGTCCTGAATGCTTGTGTTGCACTCTGTCATATACTTAATAGCAGTATGTGTTCATGGAGGTGCGCCATACGTTTATCATATTATTAAACGGTACTTCCTCATCTGCGAACACGCTTGGAGCAGTTGCATAAGGTCACGGGAGCATGAATATGTTCACAAGCATAAGTCCCCCATTGTCAACCCTGGTTTTAGTCCTGGTGTGGCTCCTGTTTTGGCTGTTTACGAGTATGTTCAGTCTGCTCGCTCGGACCGCTAATGTCCCGTGACAACTTTGCAGCTCTCTGATTGGTCGCTGCACAAGCGTCCCAAGGCTCAGCAATATTTATCTCCTGCGTGGGTCAATTTTCTGCTCCTGCGCCTCTGCCGCGCAGTCTGTGCGTGCATCCCGAGACGCACATGCAGTTCAACGCTCGAAGTCACCATTGACTTTGCATTGAAAGTCGACGCAACGCATGATCCGGTGTGAAAGCGCCATAAAACTGGCCTGGTACATTTTAAACATTTGATGAATTTTACAATTTCTTATTCCCTATGAGCATAAACACAGGAATTGTATCCACATCACTGCAGGCGCACGACTGAAATGCACGGACCGCCACTGACTGCTACTGTTACTACCCATCCCTTCTTTCAAGCGCTATGACAAATTCACTGACTGTGACGCCATGACACTGTGTGTGTGCGTGTGAGCGTCTATGTCTGTATGTTTGTGTGTGCGTCTACCTTCCTGTGTGTGACTGTGTAATTGTACCAATGTACCAACAACACTCAGTCAGTAAAAAAATAAAAACACACATACAACATTATATATTGGTCAACTCTTTACCAATATCTGATGTTGTTCTAAGTCCTTGTACACAATGCACAGTATATAATGTGAGTGTATAACTGCTGGGATGGGTGAATGTGTGAGTGTATACAAAAGGAGCTGCCGGCTGAAATAATTGGAACAAAAGAAGTTAAATTGTATCTTCTAATTGTTTTACGCTCTCGTCCTCAGTATTTAAAGGCAAAGGCAGCTTCTGGGGATTGATAAACATAGGGCAGATAACAGTGAGCCGCGCTGACAGAGGTCCCACTCACCACTTCTTGGACTTGAGGCGAGGAGGAGGGTTCCTAGGGATGAGGAAGAGCGCTCTCATGGGGTGCATGTCACACAGAGCTGCAAGAGCACACCACACAGGTCTATTGCATTAGAACACATTATATAAACTGTGAACAGAGAGCTGTGTGGGTGTCTATTTTAGGCTTCCTCAAACACTAGAAGCTGGCATTGGGACTACGATTGAATGTGTGCTCTCGCTGACCGTCTGGCATTTACTATCAACTCCAGGCCACTGCACTAAAATGAAAACCCTGCTATATTTCTGTAGAAACGCAGGGGTCCCTCATTTATCACTGAGGCAACCTTCTAAAAATAATCCACAATAAAATAAATCCTTGAAGTGGCAGCTATATGTTTTAAGGCTGTAAAACCTCCACACACTTTTACACTTACACACTTTTCTAACCACCTGAACTCATGACTGCTGAAGTAAGATCATTGATATAAATTCTGTGGGTTGTAGGTCTGAGCGCTGCTGCAGCTGTCAAAGGCTGTGCATACACTGTAAAATACAGCTGCAGAGGACACCACACAGAGGGGCAAGAGCAGGACTGAAGGAGGTAAGACTGCAGTAGTCCTCTGAACAGTTTTCTTTTGACTTAATATAAACTGCCATGTTATACTAGTGGTTATATGTAGTTTAGAAGCACGCTGTGGGGAAAAACAAAAAAAATTACACTAAACATTGAGGCCACAAATGGTGAACCACGTTAAGGTGAAGGACCACTGTATAACAAATACCAAAAGTATGATGCCTTTTTAAAGTGTCTTCTGCTGTAAACAGTTGCGGAGGGCTTTTGGCAGTATAAAATGTATGGGTTCATGTGTCAGACTCACGTGGGGCTCCCTCGGCCATTTCTATCGCAGTGATTCCACACGACCACAGGTCACTCTGAGGACAGCACAGACAGACTGTCAGTGCACACAACATAAGGCTATAGCAGAAAGTGCGGCTTATTTCATGTTCAATCTATAACATGGGTGTCCAGACAAATAGAGTTTTATTTATGTACTGCAATTGTCTGGTGCGCACTTTTTGCACATGTATTCCAATGTGGTTTTACTGCAAATGGTAATATGAATATTAATTAGAAAAGGCTAGTGTGGCTGCAGGTTTATTCAAATTAAGCTGTGAACTCAGCCCATATCCTCAAGAGAATCTTGACCTGAAGACTTGAGGAAATGGTTGGAGTCTGGTGTGCTCCTGCTTGTTTGGAATTAAAACCTGAAACCACATCGGGCCTTTGAGGAACAGTTTGATCCCCTGTTCTACATAAATGGAGAGACCTGGACTTTCAGAAGAACAAAAAGTGCAAACGATGTTAGTGATCACATTCAAATCAGTGGGGTGCAAAGTGAAGACTGTTTGGCCGCTCAGGAAGTAGTTCCATAAGGAAAAACTAAATAGCCAAAGTAATAATATAGCTATCTTATATTTGTGTCTGGTATAGAAGAAAAAACTTAATCTACCAAGAAGACAAGAACCTTCCTAAACTGTCATCAGAAAGGTAGGGTCCCTTACCCTGTAGTCGTAGGTTGCGTCCGGGTTCTCATCACAGGCGATGACTTCAGGGGCCATCCAGTACGGTGTCCCAATGAACGTGTTCCTACGGCCCACCGTGCGGTCCAGCTGGGCACTCACACCAAAGTCCACTGGGAGGACACAGGGAGAGAAGCGTCACAGCAAACAGCAAAAGAGCTAAATCATTCCCACAATATGAATGAAGTGAAGTTGTTTTAATGAACTTCACTAATCTCTATACAGATAGATATATAGTGTATTGCTAACTCAAAGAAGCCCAATAGGGAAGTGCTAACGGAAAGTTTTGCTCCAACTCGCTCTCAGTAACCATTTGTGTCACACTAACCCAAAAAGAACGTGGTTTAAACTCACTGCTGCAGTTTATAGTTATTTTTGTGTTTGTAGCGCTAGTAACTAGTAAAAGGTCTTCACACAGTCCTTTAAACCAGGAAATTATTGTGCCTTGTGTCTGAAGCCCGCTTCCCAAGCCCTTCAACCCAGCCCCTCACGGCGTTGTGTGTCAGTGGCGTACCCAGTTTGACCTCTGCGTTCTCCGTCAGCAGCACGTTCTGGCCCTTGATGTCTCTGTGGATGACGTGGTGAGCGTGTAGGTGAGCCAGGCCCTGAGAGAAGACAAGAGGAAGAGAGTGAGACACAGAATGGGACATCACCTTTACTTACAACAGGGGCTGTCCAATGATTCTATTGTTTAAGCTCAGTTTCTCACGTTTATTCCCCACTGTTTTGTTGTTGTTGTTATTTTCCAATGAGGGTCCATAGAAACCAATGGCCCCTATGTGTTATTGTCATTGTCAATAGTACTCTTACTACGGTCAGACAGTGCTTTTACTACAGCGCAACAGTGTTCTAACAGACAATAGATATGTGAAAAGGTAAAGGTGGTCACCCTGAGGATCTCCCTGGAGATGTATGCGATCCAGTCCTCCTTCAAAGTGTTTCCTTTGGTGTTCTTCACCAGGTCTGTGATGGAGCCGGCCCCACAGAACTCCATCACCAGCTGCACACACAACAACACACAACAGTGAATAACATCAGACTGTAGAATTGAAAAGTCTTTAATGCCCGGGCCGACAAAGTGTGGAGAATGTATGTAGTAAAATCTCTGTACAGGTTTATAAGGAATGTGTTTGTGTCTCCTCTCACAGGACATTCGTCATTTGTCCAATACGAAATTAATATTTACTATTTAACAAACAAACATCTGACCAAAAGAATACTTTTTGTTTGGTTCAACAGAAAGATCCTTAAAGTAAAGTATTCTGAACAAATCAGACCACATCTAGTCTACATCTTATACTGTATTTGACTCTTTGGGGAGAGCTGATTGGCTGAGTGAAGAGTCTGCTCTATAGCCCCATTTCCACCACTCCACTCAGCTCTTCTCTGCCCTGATCGGGGGCATTTCCACCGGCCCAGTTTAACCGATGCGAGGTCCTTCTTTAGTCTCTCTTGGCCTATCTGGATTCTATCCAGGCTGCGCTGGTACTGATGTGTTCTAACTACCAGTGATGGGCCAGTGTGCTGCTGGAAGCCATGGTTACAAAGTAATTTATGTTTTACTTGTTACTTTGTCGTCACATACTAACGCATAATGGAAACGTAGAGTAGAGTAGAGTTGGGCCAAGTAGGCCTGGTAGAAACAGGGCTTTTTTCACATTTCAATCTGAAATGTGAAAAGCTTATCTAAACAGAAGAAAACTGTTGAGAGAAAGGAGCTTACTGCATGGATATTATTACATAGTTTAGATTTGTTAGTTTGAAAGTATGCCAGCTTTAATGGGGGGCGTTGCATAAGTTACATTGGCTTCAGGAAGAGCTTGGTCACTTGCCTGCTGTTAAAAGCTCTATAGATAACCATAAAGCACACAGCAAGTAGAAACAAGTCTTAAATATTTATGTGTAAATGGAGCGATTGGTATCCTCACGTCGGGCACAAAGTCATTAGAGTTGTAGTGATTTAGTGATTATCACGAAGCCGCCACTTCTCACACAGGCGTCAGATCAGCAGATATAGATACCGCTCTCACTCCTGCCCCGAGGTGAAGGTTCCTGTTTACATCAGTCTGACGTTTCAGTTGGGTTTTTAGGGCTCCTTTCTGGAGTTTTCTCACAAATAAAACAGCTGCCAGTGGAAAAAACTCATGGTCGACTGGTTTATTGATTTGGGATTAACGGCTGAGAATTCTCAGATTAATGCAGATTATTTTTTTATAATATAATAAACTTGTGAGAATTTGATCATACACTAGTTACACATTTTATGTCCTATGTAGCTGTATTTTTCAATGGATGCCCTGCTTTTGACAGCTGCAGCAGTGCCCAGACCTACGACCAACAGGTTTGATATCCTCTGCAATATTAGTGTGTCTTGGTAAATTACTTGGCCCTCTGTTCACGCTTTTTGTACTGTGTCCCCTTTGCCCCCCACTCCTTGCCGACTGATTTATGTTATCCTTCTATGTGCGTTGTCAATTTAGTTTGTTTACATATTGAAGTAACAGAACCGTTTTAATTTCCTTCCAATAAAAATGGGTTTGATATCTCTGCGATCGCACTTCAGCAGTTATGAGCTTCTGCAGACACGTTGTAAACTCTGCCTCAGATCAAGAGGACGAGGATCTCACTTTGGACACCTGTGGGATAGAGGACGTGTGAAGGATCTGTGACTGACCCAGAGCTGGTCGTCGTGTCCCGGGGGGCTCTTCTTGATGAAGGCTCCATAGTACGTGGCGATGTTCCGGTGGTGCGAGTACTTCTTCAGCATGTTGATCTCCAGCTTGATCTCCTCCTCCTCGTCCTGCCCAAAAAGGGTTAAAAATCACACTTAGTCACCAATATGACAAGCCAACTTAATCCACTCCTGTGTTCAATTCAACAGCAAAAATATCTTTGAGTTTCACTGATGAAAACAAGAACAAACTCAACTCTGACAATACTGTGCATTCCACCGAGGTGAAAGCGGACGTATTCAGAGACAATTTAATACCGACATGTTACAAAAAATAAGAATGCCAACGCTGAAGGTGACTTTTCTGAGGACATGAGGTAATGTTGTGAAGGACACACTCCTGCCTTTGTCTCCTCTACAGGCACAGCTGCGTAGACCTGTAGTCCATGTACTGGAGCTACTTCAGATTGTATACAGGCTTTTCTGCAGATGAAGTCATTGTACAATGTAGTCCACATTCTGTCCTTTTTGACTGTATACTCAGAAAGAACAACTCTAAGACTAAGTCCTATATACTACTACTACTCCATCCCTATTGTCAATTTTGGGGTGGCAGCATCAGGCTGATGGGGAAGTGGAAGGTGGATTCCACCTAGTATTACCTTAAGACTTTCATTTGTCTCACACAGTGGGGAAATTTCAATATTGCAACACAAGTTGCTTGGCAGTAGGAATGAGGAGCACACAGCACAGTGAATATTAAATATAGCACAACTCTATACTTTACATTGAAATAAAATCTCTATCTTTAGTTTAATATTGGCAAGAGCTCTGGTGTGTGTCGTCTTCTCTGTCTGGTGCACACCGGGGTAGTCTTGCACAGTTTTTCCAATGTGGTTTTACTGCAAATGGCAAATAAATGAATCTGAATCTGAATCTGAATCTATTAAAGGTGCAGTAATGGATTCAGGTTAGCTTAGCATTAGCATCTGAGCAGCACCCCCTGCCCTCCACCAAACCCAACTCCAAGCACATATGAACACTGTATCTGTAATAACGCAGTCTGTGACGAAGCCTTGCAGCTTGAAATGTGAAAGCATTACACTAAATTATGGCTCAAATCTGTGAGCTATTTTCCTGCCATGCTTGACAAGAGCTAGCTTTCCCTGTCAAACTGACATTTATTTAGACATTAGAAGCAAAATTTGATAACTGTGACTCAATCTAAACATTCATAAAAAAATCTAATCAACTTGTTGCTTTCAAAACATTTGTTATAAAGGTTAAATATAAAATGAGTTTATATTTGGTTTAATATTTATTTGGTTTAGATTGTCACATTAATAATATTGAGTTTTTGCAAAGATAAATATATTATTGCTCTTTTAAAGCACGTTTATACAAATGGCCTCTTAAGGAGACTTAAGAGGCCCTCAGGAGGACTGTATGCCCTCTGGTGCTCAAAGACCTCAGAGCAAGAACCCTGGCAGTTGGCTAGTCACCTGTATGAGGTATTTGTTTGTATATGTGTTATTATATTATAAACAATACTATATCATATATAGTATTGTACATTTACAATTTACATTGTATTAACTTTATACTATGTTGGATGCAGCAAGGAAATGCACACAATCAATACTTTTTCACAGCCACTTGGTAGATTATTTAATTCAGCATTTTTGAGAAAAACAAGAATTGTGATTAATTGGTCCTTTAGTCCTCTGGTAATTCTAAATGTGGCACGGCAGCATTTCAGATTTTAAATACCAGTCTTGCTAAGAATGTGAGACAAGCTTCTCTGACAAAGTTCAAATCCAGGTGCATACAACTGAAGGATTGTGGCTTTTATGTGCACTCTGATTATTTGTGATTTTAACGCCGTGTATGATTGTTTCTCTCTTGTTTTGTTAAATACTTTGAGTTGCCTTGTGTTTGAACAGGCAAGGCAAGTTTATTAGTATTGAACTAGCCTGGTCGTACCACACCATAGTACAAATTACTTTTCATACTAAAGTCTGGAGGTGCTCAATTGAGCTCCGTTTACAGATTTGCAAATTGAAACGATTGGATCAGAGTTTAGCGTGACGTATGTAGCGCACCTTTGCCACCAACGGAGCCCGTGAGGAGTAGCGCCACAATATTTTCAAGCGATTCCTAGAGCTCCGGCTTCAATTTCTTGATAGAACCAGACCGGATTACTTTACTATCGCATTTTTCGCCATTGCCAAACTACGACCTTCCCGTTTGACGCAAACTCTTGACATCACTCACAACTAACTACAACACCTGCCTTCCGCGCTCTCTGAATGGTCGGTCAAAATTCAACCGATTGTATTCGCTAACACAGGGACCAGACCCAGACGTTACATGCAGTGAAATGATGATTGAGCGGAGTGTACGGATGGCTAAGGCCAGGCTAGTATTGAACAGTAGTTTTCATTGAATTTTAAATACATTTATGGCCTTTGTGAAGGCCAATAAATGCGGCGTGCTCAAGAAATCGGGTGAAATGTTGTCATTAAGGTGTTTAAAATTTTTTAATTTGATTGTTTTTGTCATTGATCACTAATGTGTGACATGGAGAGTCCTTTGTCTCCGCCGTCTCCTTGTGTCCCACCCTCCTCCACTGTCTCTGCCCTTCACCGCGGTGTCGTGGATATGGTCGGAGATGCTCATTACCATTCCGGAGGCATTACCATTCCTATCATCTTCATTTATTAACAGCTCGGTTACCACACTGCGTAGTAATCCTCTAGCTCGAAGAAGCTCAATAAGGAAGTGCTCATGGACAAAGTTTTGCACCACTCTGGCTACTATTGACTCTGTAGAGTAAACTCCTCTAGCTCAATAACCGTTTGTCTCACACTTGTCCTTTTGGGCTATAAAACATTTGTGGTTTTGCAGTCTCCATGATCCTGGTATTCATAGGGGATTGACCAATCAGATGCAGTCATTCGCAGAGGAAACAGGGAAATATTTGCTGCACCTAGCTTATGTTTAAATCAGCTTCTTCCGCATTCAACTCACACTATGGTTCCATCAGCACTCTCAGTCCACTACTAATATACAGTCTTTACGGTCTGACCTCTGACATCTCAGGTGTGTTCCTTGGCCTTCATGGTGTCGTTTAGTGACCAATACACTCTGGTCTGGGGGAGTTCTGGTCCCGTTTCTGTGGACTTTGCAGAGAAGCATCAAGGCTCCCGATCTGAGGACTCTTATTTAAAAGGCGTCTCGTAACTTTCCCTTATTCCTCAAACTGAAAATAATTGATTGCATATAAAGCATGCACTGATACATTATAAACAAACGCTCGACGAATGTAACCACAAAACATGTTTACTTTGGGAATTTCACACACGCTCAGCTGCAGCAGCAGAAATCACAGCGTTTCTCCAGCGCTCTTAAAAGCACAATGATTCTGTTGAGTTTAGTTTTTGCTTCACATTAAAAAACACAAGAGGCAAGGAATTATGTACTGATCCAGAACAACATAAGTGAGTCGCCTGTACCCGTCCAAATACATACATTTAGACCCTTTTTAGATGAAGGCGCTGCGCAGAGGCTGCAAAGCAGAAACAGAAATGACCATCCTTATGCAAACAGCGTTCATACGAGGATGAACAACTACCGGCCAGTAGTGGGCAGAGGAACTTTACAACACAACACACGCCACCCCCAACACCCCCAGCAGTATATTCACTTCCTCAACAACATCCTCCTTGGCCCACCACAAAGACGTGAAAGAATGCACCAACTCTGTAGACTGGATCTCAGCGCTTATGTTTTCACCCCCCCTGGAACGGAAGGTAGCAACTGACACCAAATTATCCAATTTTACTGCTGCAGCGTCTCCGTCTAAAGGGGGCCACATGATACAAGTTTGGCTTTTGCCTATGTTCTTAAAACACATCCCTGCTGTTGCAGCTCAATTGCATTGGAACTCCTCAATCGGCGCACACAAGCATGCGAAGGAGGAGAATTCAGTTTTCACAGTTTTAATTTTTCATCCCTCACAGATACAATTAAAACAGCATTCTATTACATGATAAACCCGGTTTCCACCAGCCCTATTTGGCCCTACTCTACTCAGCTCTACCCTGATTGGGAGCATTTCCACCTGCACTGTTTAACCAGTACCAGGTACTTTTTTAGTCCCTCTTGGCCCTGGTTCTATCCAGTGCCCAGCTGTTCTAATGCACCTGGAAGCCATGGTTACCAAGTAATCTCCACTGATAGTCAGGTAGATGAGAGCCGAGATTCAAGTCAATTTAAGAAGAGTTGAGTCGGGCCAAGTAGGGCTTGTGGGAATGGGGCTATAGACAAAGCGGTGGAGACTTATTCTGCATTTTATCATCTTAGTGTTCCTGCTGTCAAATAGTGTTAATTTCAATATGTGCTGAATTTTCATAGAGCACATCTTTGCACAGACTAAATTCCAAGTTCTAAAACACGACATACATAAATCATGATTGTGTTCAAGGATCCAAAATGAATACAAATAATGTTGAATATGTGTGTTCAGGTCTGCAGCTGTTGAATGTGTTAGTGAGGAGGGAAAAACACGGTTGGATGTTCTTTTTGGATGGAATGGAAAGGGAATAGAGGCCTGACATTGTGCAGTGTGAACACTGGCCTTTGGAGCTAACAATGAGAGCAGGAGAAGTTCCAACTGCATTAGCACAGGCAGAGAGGCGGCGTCATGGCGACCACAACCGCAATGCCTGATGGGATATGTGGATAGCCATAGCTCACCCTGACAGAAGGGCAGTAAACCAGAGGAACCATGTTCAGTCTCTGCAGATAAAGTGGCGAAAGAACAAGGGAAAGAGCATGTCCAGGGGTCCCTCGTTTGTCATGGGGGTTAGGATAAGGAAATAACTTGCAATAAGTGAAATCCTTGAAGTAGCAGCTCCATAGTCCAGAGTTATACACGCAAAAATCCGGAAAATAGCAAAAAGGTGAACCATGTTATGAGCTAAAATCGATCTGAAATTTTAGTCTCACTGGCTCACCCCGGAATTCTGGCCAATTCCTCCAGACAAAACTGCCATTTGAGATTGTCCCACAAATGTTCTCTAGGATTGAGAGTAAGCCTTGGGGATGACAACTAAACATTGAGTTGGTTCTTAAGCCACTTTGTAACTACTTTGATCATATGCTTCCTTGTTCTCTGGCTTTTACAAGCGTCCCCTCTTTTTTATTTCAAAGTCATTATGGCAAACAGTCGACATCTTAGGACACGCAAAAACTGAATCCTTCACCTATTCCACTTTAATTTGATTAAGACACATGTAAATTTGAGTGCGCCGATTGAGGAGTGAAAAAGCAGTCCGTTTGGAGGGGCAAGTGTGGTAAACAACAGGAGTGATGCATTTAAGAGCACAGGGTAAAGCAAATACATACGTTTATACTATAAACTTTAGAGTACAAGTTTTGGACGGGTAAAGGCGACTCACTCACGTTGTTCTGGATCAGTACACAGTCCAGTGTTTTCTTGTTTTGTTATGTGATGCAAGAACGGAACTTAACAAAAACATGAGGATTTTTAGAGCGCTGCAGAAACTCAGTGATTTCTATTCTATTTTTTGTCTATTTGAGTAATGGCTTCTTATTGCTGAGCTGTAAAAAGGACACATAACATATGTGCCCACAAGCCCATATACCATATATTAGGAGTAGACCAACCGAGTCACCATAGTGTTTGCTGAATGCAGTAGAAACCAGTTTGAAATTAAGCAAGCAGGAGCCAATTTCCTTATATGGGCCTTTGTTCAGACGGCGTTACAGCGTGAAGGGAGACATGTTGTCAAGATGGTTTTCCCTGGATACTAAAATCATCTGATTAGTCAATCCATTACCCTCTTATCTTGATTTACCAAGAAAATATTATAACAAAAAACCCCAGGATCATAGAGCATTGTCCATATTGGGCTTCATTGGGGGTTAGTTTTGTCCATATTTATGCAGTCTACGCACCAGCCCTACTGGTGTGACATATAAATACTTTTTTGGCACAGTCCCAGTTTGTCTTTGTCTGTTTCTTTTCTTTATAATGGTATAAGTGAGTCAGTGAGACACATACTGCTGTGGGCTGAACAAATGTGTGGTTTTGGCATGCAGCGCTTAAGCTGCTGTGTGTAAGTAAATGTGGAGCAGAAAATGTGGGTCAGACTGTCACATGTCACACTCTCTGACCACTGGACCAAGGCGCCATATGCATTTACACATGTGTGCCGTCTCCTATCAACAAATTAGGGCCGCACCATCCTGGACAAACAGCTAATTGTGAATGAGATTAGTCACAGTGTGTGTGTGTGTGTGTGTGTGTGTGTGTGTGTGTGTGTGTGTGTGTGTGTGTGTGTGTGTGTGTGTGTGTGTGTGTGTGTGTGTGTGTGTGTGTGTGTGTGTGTGTGTGTGTGTGTGTGTGTGTGTAGTGTGTGCGTGTGCATATATGTGAGCTTTAGGATCAGCTCAGTAAACATGGGACCTTTTCTGTATTTGTCCAAAACAAATCTATCCTGCCTCTGAGAACATTTCAATAGAGAGGACTTGTTTAAACATTGGATTGTCTGAGAAAATACTTTCTGCAGTCATTATATAATTATTTGAGTAATTTGAGTCAGAGTCTATGGAAAGTTTGAAAAATATAGTTTGATTACTAAATTTGGCATTTCAATAATCTATTAATTGAGATTGACTTGATTGATTGATTAACTTGTCTGAATAATTTGCTATGGTGACAATCACTGAAAGCCATTTTTGCGAAAGTAATATAATCGCTCGTTGCTTGGTTTGGCAAAGGTGGCTGGTATTCACATTGTGAATAAAATGCCAAAGCATAACCACGTTTAATGGTCAGAATGAACAGAAATATTGCATTATATTCTTTGTGTGAGAGTAGCGTAAGAAGCTGCTGATCGGAGATCTGTCGGTTGAGTTAGTTCCTCCGCAGGCGTAAGTCTCTTTACAGCACACTAACTCAACTGCACTGGCATACAGCCCAGTGGAAAGATGTGGCAGTCAAGCATCTAACACTCACCAGGCAACAGTTTACATGAGGGGGAAAAGTCATACATTAAGATAAGACATAGAGGGGGTTGCCTTATACTGCACACAACTCCACAGAACTCCACAGACATCTGTGGAATTGATGCTTAGAGTGAGGGTCCAGAAACCTGTAGCACACACAGGGGCTCTGTCTATACAGGCTGGAGGAGCAACTGCCTGAACTGGTCTGTGAGGGAACAGGACTTCTGCTCACTTCTGTCTCCCATACCCTTAAGATGTATGGATCCTCGGTGCTAGGAGCTACTAGAGAAATGAAGAAATGCATGGAGGAGAGAGAGTGATGCCTTCGATTGATAGATTAAAGGGGGTTGGAATTTCTCAAGTCTGGTTATTATTAGGGATGTACCGATCCGATATTCAGTAGGGCTGGGCGATATAAACGGTATAAGCGGTATGCGATATAAATTTGGCCCACGGTAGAGATTTTTGTTATACCGGCATATTGCAATAGGTCATTATGTCATCAAATTGCGCAGGCTCTGACGCCAGCAGAAAGGACCAAAACAAACCGGCATTCAGCAGCATTAGCCTAGCACTATTAGCCTAGCAGACACCACTGGAAACAACGAACAACAGCACGGCATTAACACCGTGTTTCTGTCTATGTATTGTTGTCACAGCGGCCCCAGCAGAGGTAAATACACACACAGTAATCACAGTTTAAGCGTCTACCAATCAGTATCAAAGGGGCGTAGGCTCGAAGCGCCAGTGTGAGCCAAAATAGATCCATGCGTGTGCCGTGTCCGCAGCATCACAGCAGAAGTTTGGGAAAGTTAGCGTCAGATTCGGACCTCCGCGGTCAATATCTCACGAAAGCTACTTTGTTAAACAAAATTAATTGTGCCAAAATGATCATTTACATCAATTGTTCAAATCCAATGCACTGTTTTAATGAACATAAATTCATTTAATCATCCAGTTCACTGCAAGCGCAGAGAAAAGCGCTTAGGGAGCGTCAACAAATGGCAAGACCAGCTTTGTAAACGAACAATAGCTTTTACTGAAGTCATGTACCTGCACAAAACTCTCAGACACTATAAATAATGGCCATATCTAACTCCTACAGACTTTGATTTCAACATTTGTGAGTTTTTATATTTTAAATGAATGCATATGTTTTTCTTTTTAAAAATTGCTTTTACAGTGAATGGTATTTACTGTAACATACATAAATAATGTATGTTACAACATTTGTCTCTTTATTCGTCTCACAACTGATTTTCTAACTCAAAAAATATATATATTAGATTCTAATATATAAATAAGCAACAATCTTGACTATTTTATGCAAGAACCTGCTAGACCTATATTGAAATTCACACACCAAATTATACCGCAATATATACCGTCTACCGTCTGTGTCCCAAATTATACCGCAATATGAATTTTAGGCCATATCGCCCACCCCTAATATTCAGTATCGGTATCGGGGGCCGATATGGGTATTTTGTAAGGATCGTATAATATTGGATTTGTTAAATATGAAGCCGATTTACGTCACTTTTCAGTTAACACTAGTCAGTGTTAGCCGACATAACAAACGTATTTATTCAGGTAAAAATGCAAAATCTTTAATGCTTTGAAAATATTAGAAAAAATTGTATCGGATCGGTATCGGCAAAACCATATTTAAGAATATCGGAATCGGATCGGATTACAAAAAATCTGGATCGGTACATCCCTAGTTATTATGTTTGGTTTTTTAAATAAACATTTTGATTGATGTTTCTGTGAGCATGGGTCACATGAGTGCTTATAAATATGGCAGAGGATGTGGGTAGCCATTTTTATTTTATTGAACATAAGTTTTGAGGGTTTAGTGCGTTTGTATTCAGTTTTTATTAAACATCAAATATAAGCACAGTTACGGGTCGGTGCAATTTCTCCCGCTAAGCAGTGTGTCATGAAGCTACAGGACCCATTCTCCTCCAATTCACCGGCGACTTAGAAACACATTCGAAGCAGATAAGGGTCATAAGGTAAGGTGCTTTGTCTTAATCAGTCCCTGTCTTTTTCAATGTTTAAAACAAGCTCATAAATCCTTCTGGTTCTTTTGCTGTTGGTCCATGGTCCTAGCTGATAACATGTTTGTGCTGTGATACTGACCTCGGTGACGTCCATGACTTTGATGGCAGCCAGCTGACCGGTCTTGACATGACGACCCTGAGAAGAGAGGGAGGGGGAGAGCTGTGAGTATACCATTTAGTTTTAAAATGCAAATGATTAGTGGCAGCTCGATCAGGTATTTATCGTATGAGCCAAAAAGACGGAGGATTCATCCAATCACAGAGACAGCGCTCTGCGGAGGGTCCCTGCAGGAGGCAAGTACACGCCAATCTGGATTAGATTATATTGACATTCAAACCTATGACCAAGCCAAGATGTCTTCGTTTTTTCCTGACATTTTTTCATTTTTTCTTTGAGAATAGAAATAAAATACAAAACTAATGCAAAAATGTCAAACAGAGGGAGTGCAAAGCATTTAAAGGAGCAGTATGTAAAAATCTGGCCAAAAGTGATACTAGACTCTTTCTGACTCAGGTTGGCAGATATGCAGACAAATCCAGCTGGGACCACAATAACTGAATAGACAAGAGTTCTGGCAACAACAAATCTATAACTAACAGCTTTTTCACAAAGGCCCTGATAGAAATCCTCATTTTATTCCTTGTTTTGTCATTTAAGATTTAAGAATCATAGACCTTTTTTAGTTCTGCGGCCACATGTTTCTATACCAGCGACACGGTGAGTTCTGGCAACCCGGATCACAGCCTTTCTGATTGGTAAAACGGTGGAGGGCGGGACATCAAAAAGGAAACAAAAACAAGAATTAACTGAACTACTGTTATACATCAAAGAAGTATTCGAAACGAGCATGTTTTACTAATGCCTTTTGACAGATAAGGGCCATTTAATGATGACTTTACATGGAGGCCATATATGGAACTGGGAAGTGGACAGAGCTGGCAGAAATCAAATTCTCAAAAATGGTGATTGCAAAAGATTGAAAACTTGCTTGGGGCAGATCCTCTGATTACTCTTTACTCCTCAGATCTCATGACCACACATCATTCATTGATAGAGAAACTGCGATTTTAAACATGTTTAAGACAAAGTGCTGAGGATGATGTTTCAATTCACTTTAATGTATTGTGTGTATAGCCTTTACAAAGTTGTTGATTCACCAACAACAGATCAGAGAATCAAACAGGCTGAACACAGGAAATGCAATAATAAACACATTTAAGTCATTGGACCACAGGGAGTGCGGATGACCACTGTCCATTTATGGTAATGAATGTGCATAAATGTTCATAAATTGTCCTTTAAAAAGATCTGCATCCTTTCCGCATGTACTGTTTCCATCCAATAATGTCTGTTGAAATATGTTTGTTTTGCTCTCTGCTGTAGAATAACTGTCATAAGGAGCGCAAAAATATGTAAATAGAGTACGCAGCCAGCCTTGATGTTTGTTCAACGAACTGAATTTCTCCATCTGTGAGATAATAAAGGATCGATTGATTGATAAATCAATTGTGGTTTTGGACTGAAAACAACCCCATTTGTGGATAGTCAATAGCAAGTCAGTCCGCTTTGTGTCTTCACTTCAACTAAGATTTTGAGGAGCCATGATGATTTTGCATAGGGAATTTTAACTTAGACCGGAACATAATACTGTATAAAGATGGCTAATGCTAACACGTGAGGAAAGAGAGGAGGATAAAAATAGGGTTTGAGTTTAAGAATGCCTATTGTCATTTGAGCTCTGCCCTCATCCCGGTGTCATCCATTTCTTTGTGTTGGCCTTTTTTACTGCAGCTACAAGTGCATTCCAAAGATATCCATCTATTGTTCTACCCTTGTTTTGCCCCAGGTTCAAAGTTTCAAAGTCAAAGAGGAAATTTAAAACATATTACTCTTTTTTTTCTAGTGTTTGTTTTACAGAGAGTCGAAGCACAAATAGTAATCTTTTAGGGCTGTGGGTGATGCAGAGTATATTGTGAGCAGCATTAATAAGAGTTGTGAGTGGGAGGGGATCAGGTTCCTTTTGTGGAAGAGGACACCTGAACTCTCTGTGGCCCCAGGGCCTACTCATCTGTAGAGAAATGTCAATGACTAAGGTTATATGGACTAGGGCAGATGTAGCAATACTGATGATAACGCAGTAGTAAAAGTGCCCCAATATTGTTGTAGTTGCGTTATGGTAGCGTCTGATCAATCAATCCTTATGAGGATCCTATCTGGATTTACAAAGACAATATCAACATGAAAACACCAGAATCAAAAGGCACCAAACAATGAAACGGTGAGTGTGACACAGACTGTTACTGAGCTAGTGGAATTAAGTTTTACATGTAAGTAAATAGGAACCAGAGCGTGTTGGAGCAAAACATGTCTATGAGCACTTCCTTATTGGCGCAATGGAGAGGGCAGGTAAGCATTGTCCATTTGTGATGTCTATGGCTCTCGCACATACAATATACAGTACTTGCCAATAGTTGCTCAAAATAGTCTAAAATAGTTAGGTAGGTAAAAGGTTATAGGAGATTTTACATGGTTCTGCCTGGAGTTCATTGCTTCAATGCAAAGGCAGCATGACGGCTGAGTGGATAGCACTCTCACTTCTCAGCAAGAAGGTCCTGGATTCGAATCCCTGTCGGTACAGGGAATTTCTGAGTGGAGCAGACATAGCTCTCCTCAAGTTCCTTCTGTAACTTTCCTCCGGGTGCTTAGGTTTCCCCCACCTCTAAAAACATGCACATTAGGTAAAATCCTCCAGCTCCGGTAGTCTTGACTAAGCGGCACAACATCTGGAGATGGGTCCCCAGGTGCTGTGCTACTGCCACTAATACTCCTGACAGAAGCTTTGGTGGCATTGCAGGATGGGTCAAATGCAGGGGACAAGTTAATGTAATCTCCTTTCAAGTGAAACCCAAACTGTGGTATTTCTACAGTCTAATGCCGCGTTCAGACCGGATCATGCGTTGCGTTGACTTTCAATGCAAAGTCAATGGTGTTGCGCAATAGAGCGTCAAAATTGCATGTGCGTCTCGGGATGCACGCACGGACTGCGCGGTAGAGACGCACGGACTGCACGGCAAAGGCGCAGGAGCAGAAAATCGACGCAGATAAATATTGCTGAACGTTTCCTCGGGACGCTCGTGCAGCAACCAATCAGAGAGCCGCAAAGTGGTCACGGGGACATTAGCGGCCTAAATATACTGTAAACAGCCAAAACAGGAGCTACACCAGGACTAAACCAGGGTTGACAATGGGGTACATAGTGCTTGTGAACATATGCGTTTTCATGCTCCCGTAACTTTATGCAACTGCCTCGAGCGTGTTCGCCGATGCGGAAGTACCGTTTAATAATAAAATAAACGTATGGCGCACCTCTGTGAACCACTGTTATATAAAGTCTCTGGAAGGTCTCTGGACACAGAGACGTTGCAGAGCTGCATTATTGGAGAAGAACTTTACACAAAAAGCTGCTAGCTTGTTCTCCGTTAGCATCAAAGTTGGAAAGCTGCTTATCTGGGGAATATGAAAAAGGGGGGAAGGGCGATAGAGACGGAACTGCTGGAGCAGACAGTCAGCTGAGGGGTACAGTCATGACCTCATTGCCTCCACAGCTCTCACTCTGGGACAGACAGAGCAAAAACCGCCAAAATAAAAAGATCCAACTCAGCGAAAAGTAGAAGAGCTCTAACTGATGAGAGGAAGCCGTGCCAAACTCCCACTTAGGCGATCAGATACGCATACACTGGGATTTAAAGTACATCTGACAGGTTAGACTGCACTTTTAACTAAAATCAAGTACAATTATTTGTTATGAATTCTATTTTTTCCAAGTTTGGGAAATTGGATGCCATTGTGTTTGTTTTGAAGAGCAAAGTGCTGTGTCACAAACAGAATACTGGTCGAATCCCACAAGTAGTTATGGAATAAATCTACAGCCTCAGCTCAGTCTTGGGTCTACAGCCCAAGTCCTGGATCTCCGCAAGAGAACCGTTTCCCTCCACTGGCCTGGGAACACCTCTCGATTCCACCTAAAGAGATGGAGGAAGTGTGTGTGTGTGTGTGTGTGTGTGTGTGTGTGTGTGTGTGTGTGTGTGTGTGTGTGTGTGTGTGTGTGTGTGCGCCGCCACAAACCACCATTCGATAAAGTTGAACTCATTTAAAATCCCTCAACTTAAAAATAGACTAAAGTAAGTAAGTCCTCTTTATTTACATAGCGCATTTTACAAAGTCACAAACGCTTAACAACTGTTGCAGACATTTGTCTCTCACGCAGAGTTGCTTGGTGCATGCCAGACCAAAAGTCAGGGGTGCAGATCGGTACGCAGGTACGCATGCTCGACAAATATCAGAAATGCGTCTATCACTTGGGTTAGTAAGCGCCTTTGTGTACTTCATGTAACCCGGGTCATTTTTATCGTCTCCCTCTCGTCTCCTCGCCATTATTTTTATGCCGTCTCTTGTAAAGAATCTTGCGGTAGTTTTCTTACTCCTTCGAGAGTTTGAACGAGAGTTCCCACGGTCCCCGTGGCAACACTTCCTGAAATAAGCGCGCTCTATCCACCGGTGGGTGTGTTGTCGTGGGGATATTTTTTCCGCGATCTAACTTTGTTTCACACTATACGTACAGTGGGTAACTGATATGCTTTCGCTACAGGCGCTTCCTACACTTAATTTGACCCGGTTGTCACACTGTGTGCGTGACCATACAGAGGAACAGGTGAGTCAACCTGTTTGGTTCTACACAAAGCTAGTAGCTAGCGCCAGTCTTTGCTGCTGGACTCTGGAGCCTTAAGGGAGTGTCCATGTCCTCCCTGTGTCTCTAAATTAAAGCTATGGTACCTACATTTTCCCTTGCATTAATAATGAATAATAATGTTGGTTGTGCCCAAAAGTAAAATTGTTGTGAACAAATCAAACAGAAAATTGTTTTGATTTTTTTTTTTTTTTTTTGCATTTTTAAGAAAGAGTCATATTTTGACTTGGATTGAGTGGATTATCTGAGCTGATCTAAACTTTAGCATTAAAAAGAAGCAAGTATAACATCTCGATTAAGAACCACGCGACAAAAGGAGTGAGTACCAAACACCATCTCCTTGTACTCAGATGAGTACCTCACTGAAAAAGTTATGTGCACCCCTGCC